CTCTCTCTCTCTCTCTCTCTCTCTCTCTCTCTCTCTAATTTTGGGGAGAAGCAGTAAAGATTCCAAGAGAGGTGGATCTTACAAGAAACTCAGGATTCTGACTGGCGGAGATGAAAACATTCTGGGCATGGGAACACTGACAGGAGGCAGAAAGAAGGCACGTCTGGCCAGATCGGAGGGTTCTATGAAAGGGAGGCAGGTTTGCCCAACAGAGGGGCTTATTCTACAGCTGCCAGGGAGCCCAGTGGGGCTGACTGCCCAGGCAAATGGCAGGTCAGCAGCTGTGTGGAGGGTGGTGTGGAATGGGGAAGACATTGGAGGCACCGATCAACAGATAAGGAGGCTGCTGAAAGAGGGACAGCTGTATGAGTGAAGAAAAGGGGTAGCAGGGGAGAGGGCTGTGGATGGAGAAACAGCCAGAACCAACAAATGACATGGTGTGAGAGAGGGAGGAATCAATGACAAGGCAGACATGAAGCTGTGAAGATGGAGTTCCCCTCAACACAAAGAGTAGAAAAGAGAACCAGCTGCTTTAGACATGCTGCAGCTGAGACATCAGAGGACATCCGGTAGGAAACGCACCATAAGCAGGTGGTCTCTGCATCGAGGGGTCACCAGCATAGATATCTGTAAGCTCCCACAAGCTGCCTAGGGCACTGAGAAAAAAAGAGCTCGGAGCCCAGGATGGAACTTGAGGGTATTTGATCAAGATGTCAACCTAGGAAAGAAGACTGAGGAATAAAAGTCAAAAGGCAGGAAAACCAAGGCAGTAGTGTCAGAAAACCCAGGGAGGGAAGGAGCCAAAAGAAAGGTGAAGGGGACAGTGATCCCTGCATATACTCAGTAACTGCAGCTAAAACATCCCTAGTCCAAGGAGTTATTGGTTATTTTCATTTAAAAATCTAGTCTTATAGGCTGAAGCACCTGAATTCTGGTATTTAATAGCAATGTCCAAAAATAAAAAGCACATTCTGATGTGATTACTCCTATTTACATTCCTACAGAACTGAGAGCTTTATAAGAGAGGTCTCCCACTTGATCAAGGCTGGGCCAATCTCTCCAATTAGCTGTTATATCAAAATCCCACCCTAACTTCTGGAATGCAAAGTTCTTCTTGGGGGTAGGGGATGGGGAGAACAAGACAAGTGATACTTACAGCCGAAGCTCTTCAAAAGACTTCACTGAATAGAGGGGGGAATTCGGATCCCGCTGAAGGACTTCCACTTGATTGGTGTTGTCCACAAGGTTGCTTCTAATCAGCTTGTTGAGCAAGGACTGAGCAGCTCTATCCTCTAGAAGTGGGATGACAGGTCCAACCAATCAAACCGGTTACAAGCAGATGATGCCCATCCACCTAGCCCTCCCATTCTGTTCTGGTCCTGGGGTCTGTAGATAGCTCCTCCTTAGGACTTTTCTCCCATCACTCAGTCAAATTTTTCACTTCTCATTTTGGCCTCACTCAAAACTCCAATTTATAAACCAAACTATGAAAATGACCAAGTTTTGCACAAAAAGTGCAAAAAACAGTAAATTATTTAATGGGCAGGGCTGACATCTTAAAACTTCTGTTTGGCACTGTCACACTGTGCTGCTGTCTCTCTGTAAATATTAGCTGACTATTACGTGGAGGTCTATTAGGAAGATAGATTTCATCTCTAGACTATTTCAGGGCCTTAGGATTTTGTGCTGCCAGAACCATGACACAAGCTCCTTGAGAGCAAGATTACATTCTACTCATCATGTTCCTCTCCACAGAGCCTTGCAGAGACGCGGTGTTCTTGTTCAGTCATTTTTAGTCTGTCTGACTCTTCAGGACCCCATTTGGGGTTTTCTTGGCAGAGACACTGAAGTCATTTGACATTTCCCTCTCGAGCTCATTTTACAGATAAGGAAATTGAGGCAAACAGGATGAAGTGACTTGTCCAGGGTCAAACCTCTAAGTATGAGGCCAGATTTGAATTCACGAAGATGAGTTTTCCTGATTCCAAACCCAGCACTCTATCCTCTGTGCCACTTAGCTGCCCTGGAGAGTAGGTACTCAGTCAATACTTAATAAATAAAAGAATCTAAGTTATTTGTCAAAATAAAGTTTTAAAAAATGCTTTGAAGGAACATCTTGATTCTTTTAGAACTTAACTCCCAGAATCTAACTTCTCTTCTGCTATAAGACTGCCAAAGTTACCTTTTTCCTCTTCATCAGTCTTCCCTGAATTTTCATCAGCTTTGACAATACCTGTATCAGAAAGACAACTGCTGTTATTCAAGGGCCCCTATCAGATCTGATCATTTAAACACTATGACAGATTGCGTTTCAGAGTTATCCAATGGAGTAGACCCTCTGGTAGCCACACTTGGGCAATTTTAGCCATCTCAGATGAAAAGAATCATTATAAATTTAACATCAGTAAACCAAAGGTAGCTATTTCTGAGTTTATATGGTCATAAATATAAAGTATTGGCACTTGGAACAAAAATTGAATACCAGCATTTTCCTAACAAAAAATCAGCAGCTAAAGCAGCTACATCTAATAAAGCTTCCATAATTGGGCATTTTGGGCTTCTAGTACAATGTGTATATATACATACACACACACACACAACTCTCTCTCAAACACAAGGGAGAGAGACGATTATTCCTCTCTTATATTAATAATCAATTATTGAATTACACTGAACTGAAGGACATTATTGATGGATGACGAGATTGCTCAAATCCCTGGGGTTTATGCCTTTTTTTTCCATCCTGGGAAGGAGACTCCACCCCAACCAGAGAACATTACAAAGAATTTAATTTTAATCTAAGGTAAATTCTGGCCCATTGTGTTCTACTCAGGCTTGGTTTGGGGTATATGCTTTGTCTAGATTGCCCGAGGCTGGGGGTGGTCTAGGAGAGAGTGATCATGCCCTCATTAGAAAGATTCTACTTTTCATTATAATATTCATTCTTCTCATTAATTGTTAACCAATCAGTTGATTGCCACCCTCAGGAATACCCACTCTTCCAAGGGCATATAAGCACTGAGTGGGTTCCATGAGGAGTCTCTGGCATTGGATAGTGCTAGTGATCCCTTTTTATTATCTGCTAGCAATAATTATTAAAATGACTAATTACCCAAAATTATGTCTCCTAAACTTTTTTACATGTCACACACAGGAACACTCTCTCCCCCTCTCTCTGATGAGATAAAGACCATCACTACTTAAGTATCTATACATTTGAAACTTGAGAGCCAATTTGGCACAGTAGATAGCCTTGGAGTCAGGAAGACCAGAGTTCACATTCCACCCTTAACATATATATCCTGTGTGATTCTTAGCAAGTCCCTTCACCTCTCAGGACCCTAGATAAGCCTCTAAGAGGAGACATTCCAGAGGAGTTGCCCACCTACATTCAATCAACCAACAAGCATTTATTTAAGCCTAATTGTGTGCCAGTAACTGGAAAGCCAAGTACAATAAATGAAACAATACTAGGGAAATCCTGATATCTTAACAAGGAAGACAAGTCCATATCTGAGTCCATATTCTAAAAATAGAATAAGATAGAGAATAAATACAAGGGAGCTGGAGAAGGAAGGCAGGAGCAGTTGGGGGATCAAGAAGGCTTCATGGAGAAGATGGAACTTGAATCTCTAGACAGTCGTGAAGAAAGGAACTCTAAGAAGTGGAGGCTAGAGGGCAGTGCAGTTCAACCACGGAAGACAGGAGGTGGGAGTGTCACATGTCAGGAACAGAGAGAGGGCCAGTTCGGCTGGATGGAGTGTGGAAAGGGGGAATAATGTTCAATAAGCTAGAAATAGATTGGGGTAAGGCTGTAAAGGGCTTTAAAGGGTAAAGACAGGGGTTTATAATTTATCCTCCAGGCAATGGGGAGCCCCTGGAGCCGAGTGGGGAGGAGGAAGGATGTATACTTGTTGATTAATTGCACAGGGGGTTTCCTAACCGGGAGTTTCCAACACTGTGGCTGTTACAAATTCAAAGCAGAAATCTCCAAGGAAAACACATTGACTTTTACATTAGCTTATGGTTATTAGCTACTCACCGTTGGCATCTGCTTTGATTTTCTCTTCTTTGATATGCAAGTTGCTCAACTAAGTGGAGAATAAAAGGCAAAAGTTTCAGACAAATTACTAGGTCAAACAGAGACTTCCAGCCCTAAGAGCCTCCCAGAGAACCTGGAGGCAGGAATAATCTCTTAGGTTTTACTTGCTTCTATCACTGAAGGTAGAACAGTGCCTTTGGGTCCAGAGGGGAGGGACTATTGATTCATAGGTCAGATTTTACCTTGTGTGTTCAGAGTGCCCGTTTATATTTTTGCTTCACAACTTATGAACCTCGTTGATTTTGTTCGTCAACTACACCCTCTTGGGTGAGGCAGCAGTTTTAAGTCGACAGAGGTCGGGCTGGGGCATCAGGAAAACCTGGGTTCAAACCCTGCCTCTGACACATCCTGCCATGTGACCAAGGTCAAATCACAGAACCTCTGGATGCCTCAGGCATCTCATAGACTCAAAGGTACACAAGTTGAGCACCAGTTTCCACACCAGTGGTGAAATCACATAGGTACAAACTACCTCCAAAAACCTTCAGAAATACAATACTACCTGTGACTTTGCAAAGTGGAAAAGTATGTCATCTAAACATCACAGACATAGCCATTTACTCTGATTTTCCCTAATGAACCTCAAAATTACATGAAAAATTGAAAGGAGCATCAGTTGGCAAATAAATTAGGGTTTAGTGTTTTACTTTGCTTAGGCCTGGTTTCAGTACCACCTAAGACCCTACTTATATCCCACAGCAGCTACTAGTCATTCCTGGTCACTGTTAGCCCTTATTCATGGAGAACTTCTTTAGGCCAGAAACAGTCTTGATTCATGACTTTGGGTACTGTTTTGCTATCAAGATAAAGAACCAGACACTCTCTCTTGGCTCCAAGCATTTTCTCTGGCTGCCCCCATTCCCCAAATGCTCTCCCTCCACATCTCTCCCTCCTGGCTTCCCTGGCGTTCTTCAACACCTAACTGAAATCTCATCTTCTACTGGAAAGCTTCACCAGCCCCTCTTAATTCTAGTGCATCCCCTCTGCTATTTCCTATTTATCCTGTATGTAGCTTGTCTGTCTCTATCTGTTTGCACATGGTCTCTCTCCCCCGTTAAGACTACATGAGCTCCCTGAAGGCAGGGCCTTTTGACTCTTTTTGTATTCCTAGTGCTTAGAGCACACAGTGCCTCACACACAGTGGGTATTTAATAAACACTTATTGACTGATTGACTATTGTGCCAGTAATAGTTCACATTTAACACTATATCATTGGTAATGTGTTTCCCTCCCAACAACCTTAGGGAGTAGACAGAGTAGATATTTCAGCCCCTATTTGGTAGATAAGGAAACTGAAGCCCAGCTAGGGTGACCTACTGAAGCACACCAAGACAATATTGGTATAAGATCTTTAGGATCGTCATTCTTCACGGCTGGTTCCACAAAAGGACAGCTCCACCAATGGGTGTAACAAGAATTCACATGTATACGATGCTTGCTACATAGTTTAAAAGAGCTTTCCTCCTGACAAGCCTCTAACAGTATCATCTTCATTTTACAGATCAGGAAACAGTGTCAGAGAAGTTAAGCGACTTCAGGCAAGAGAAGGGCTCTTTGAAGTCATCTCATCCCCCCCACTTAGTTCAGAGAGATTCCCTGCCTTGTCCCCAACGTCACACAGGGAGTAGGTAACAGCTGGGATGTGGCCTCAGGTCCTGGGACTCTAAACTCAGTCTAGTAGCTGGCCCTTAATAAATGTTTATTGACTGACTGACCAGATCTCCTCTGTCCTCCGTGCCATTCCTCCCACTAGACGCTCCGACTGGGTGAGCTTTAACTGGCTGTTTCCCATGCTTAGAATCTCTCCCTGTCTCCCCCTCCCCGCTGACCCTTTCTTGTGGCCTCTCTAGCTTCTGCCAGAAACCTTTCCCAGATTCTGTGATTCCAGCTTCAGTTTATCCACGGTTGTTGCCTCCCTCCTTACACTCTGAGCTCCTGGAGAGCAGGGATTCTGGGTTTTGCTTTTTTCTGCATCCCTGGTGCTTAGCACATAGTAGGGATTGAACGAACACTCGTTGACTTGACTTGGGATTAAGCCACAAACAACACAATCCTTAACCTCAAGATGCTACATTCTACTGGAGGACACACAATTCATAGACTAAGGAGAGCACTAAGAACTAGAGAGAAGGAGTAGCCAAGTGAAAGTTTCAGAAAAGAGATGGAATCACATTGTGCTTTGATTCTGACGGGCAGGGATGAGAAGGCACAAAGGAAGGTCAGAACAAAAACATTCTCCCTCTCATCCCTCCCTGCAGGACCCCTGCTTTAATAAGCTTGCTTTCCCTTCTTGTGTCCAGAGTCTCTTCCACCCTTTCCAGTCATCTCCTCAGTGTGCTTGTGGCTAACACTCCAGCTATCATCCTTAGCCTCTGTCCTCCTGGGCACCCTCCACACATATCTTAGAATGAACCCCTAGGCCCCCTAACTCAGATCGGCAAACATCTGCTTTATCTTGACCAGAATCAGGACTGCACAACACTTCACTTCAGTCACTTCTGTAGCGGCAGAACCGTACTCAGCATTCTTTCTGGCTCCCCTCAATATGGTGTCTTTCTCCATTAGAACACCCAAAGGGCTAACAAATTGTGCATACCCTTTGACCCAGCAATACTATTAGTAGGTCTGTATCCCAGAGAGATCCAAGAAAAGGGAAAAAGACCTACGTGTACAAAAATATTTATAGCAGCTCTTTTTGTGGTGGCAAAGAATTGGAAATTGAGGAGATGCCCATCAATTGAAGAATGGCTAAACACATTGTGGTATATGATTGTGATGAAATACTGCTGAAATAAGAAATGAGCAGGCGCATTTCAGAAAAACCTGGAAAGACTTACACAAACCGATACAAAGTGAAATGAGTAGAACCAGCAATATCGTAATGATGATCCACTGTGAAAGACTTAGCTTACTCCGATCAATACAACGATCTAAGACAATTCCAAAGGACTCTTGATGAAAAATGTTATCTACCTCCAGAGAAAAAACTGTTAAATTCTGAGGGCAAATTGTGAAAAAAAGAAAAAAAGACACAAGAAAATAAGTTCCTTGGGGGCAGACTGTCTTGCTTTTTGTATTTGTATCCAAAGTGCTTAGTACAGTGCCTAACATTTAACAAGTTTAATAAACGTTTGGCTCCATCCATCTGTCCGTCCAACCAACCATCTATCTCAAAGGCAGTATGTGCTGAGTTCAGGGAACAGCTAGTAGTAGTCAGAGTGTCAACTGCATGAAGAGCAGCAAAGACTGGAGAGAAGGAGCCAGATATTGGAAGGCTTTAAATACCAAGCTAAAGAGTCTACACAGATTTGCACAAGCTAGCGGGCTACACGGTAGGAGCAATGACTCTCAGGTGTGTGTCACCAAAGGGTGGGAAGGTAGGTTGTATCTCTCCTGGGGCCCTTGTCTTCAACTCTACCTCCCTCATCACCCTCCAGCACTCCAACAGTGGTCCTCAACTAGTCAACCTCCCCTCACCCCACCCCCTTTTACTCAGTAGACTGCAGTGGCTCCCCCTCATCCAGGGACCAAATACAGAATCCTCTGGTTGTCGAAGCTCTTCACAGCCTGGTCCCCTCTGCCTTTCCAGTCTTCTTATACTTCATTCCCCATTACATACTCTTCCATACAGTGACACTGGCCTCCTGGTCGAGTTTCCCCCTAACAGAATAATCCCCCTCTCCTCATGTCCCTGGCTTCCTTCAAGTTCCAACTAAAATCTGTCTTCTACAGGAAATCTTTCCCAGCTCTTCTTAATTCTAGCACTTTCCCTCTTTTAATAATCTCCTGTTTTTCCTGTATAGTTTGTGTATATTGTTTTGCTTATTCTTTCCCTTCATTAGATTGTGAGCTCCTTGAGGGCAGGTGTCTCCTGCTTCTTTTTCTATCCTAGCATAGTGCTTAGCACATAGTAGACCTTTAATAAATGTTTGATTGATTTAACAATTATTAAACACTTACTATTTCCCAGGCCTTGTGCTAAGGCCCTAAGGTACAAAGAAAAAGGAAAAAGAAAAAAATTCCTGTCCTCAAAGAGCTTATATTCTATTGAGAAAAAAAAAACAGCAGAACAGATAAGTAAATACAAACTACCTACAAAAGTAATTTCCAGAAGCGATGGTCAGGATGAAACTTTTTATGTGGCAGGTGGTATTTGAGAAAGTAAGGAATTCTATGGCCTTGGAAGTCTTCTTTTTGAGTTTGATGTATGCATACTTCACACTCACTGAGCCAGAGCAGCTGTGTACTAGTTGAAAGGGCAGCGGGTTTGTGGTCCAAGGAAACTCTTAAATCTCACTTCTACTGCTTTGGGTAAGGCCCTTTAAGCTCCCTAAGCCTCAGTTTCCTCATCTGTAAAATGAGAGGGTTTAACTAACTAGGTTAACTCTAAGGTCCTTTCCAGTTCTAAATCCCACATTACTAAAATAAGCAGAACTAAGTCAATTATCACTTGATTTTTATGAGATTCAGTGTCTGTGTGAAAAACACATTTAGATGTGTGGTGGTGATGGGGTGATAGGACCTGGACCCCTAAAAGGAAAAGACCATGTCTTTGAAAGCAACTCAGTCCCTGGATTTTCCCATGTTTATTTCAGCAGCCCAGATCACTGGTGCCTCTACCCAAGGCACCTGGCCCACCCCAGAATACTAGCATTTACTGACCACTCCTTAATCCCAATTAACGTACCTGACAGTCCTTTCACAGTAGCACCAGGCCCACCAGGCTACTTAGTATTCCTTAATCCCATCCACATCCTTTCACTTTCCCTTTTTGTACATAAGCATCAGTCTCACCCCCATTAAGTTGCAGGTTCACTAGAAACCCTGCCTGCTACTACAGGGGTTACAATAAACCTTGTCATCTGACTGTAAGGTTTGAGTGCATGAATTCATTCCAGGCAGATGACGCCCTCCCTGTACCCTGACATTCAGGGTTTCCCAGCAACCATAAACAGCATCAGTGGCACACACCTGCACTCCTGGCTGCAGTACCTGGCACCTAGTAGACACATAACAAATGTCTGACCAGCGCTCCCAAGGAAGGCTAATGACTGTCAGGTGTGATGCCAGTATGGTGAATTCCTAGGAGGGGCAGAGGGCCACCAGGATACCAAAGGAGAAGCCAATTGGCCCAGATTGGAAAGAGTGGGCAGGTTAAAAGCTTCTGTGCTGATCAGTAACAGGGGAAAGGGAGAAGAAAAGGAAGGGGGTGGAGAAAGAATAAGAGATGCATTTAGCTCACAAAGACCTTATAACAGAAGCAGAGAATCAGAAAAATAAGTAAAGGTTCTCATTCATTTAAAACATCTGCTCACTAAAACAATAACAACAAGTAAAAGTTGAACAGCGTTCTTTAACTTCCTTTCCTTACAATGTCACTAACAGATAAAACCATTCAAGAACTAGAACTGAATCATCTTACTAACCAATAAAACTGAGGAAGTAAAATGTCCCAGGACACTGAGGTCTTTTTCAGCCTGTAAACATTCTGAGAACGTAGTCTGAAATTAAGGCAGTTCTCTTCAAGAACTAAGGACAAACGGCAACCCCTGCGAGTTAGAAAAGGAGCTGACCACTGGGGACCAAGCTGGAACTGGACAGTTGGGCCACCCAGCTTTCCCTTTTCTTTTCTGTCCCTCTGTCCACATAGGGTATCTATAACACCCTTACCTGTGGGTGCTCAACCCAAAGGGAATGTGAATTTTTAATCTCTGAAACATTTGTTTTCTCCTTTTCTCTTCAAGATCAGCCTTAAGCCCAAAATCACTCTGGCTCTCATTGATTGGCCAATAATAGGTCTCAGGCCAAGCCCAACTTGTTTGTTGTTTGGGCCAGGAATGGCTCAGAAAGAATGTAAATAGCAATTGTTTCTGTTTTGGTCAGAAGCCCTGAGGGTCTTCCCTTCCCATATCTAACTATCTAGAAAGATAGATAGATATAGATATATAAGTTTTTTAAAGAGGCCATTCTTTGCTTCATTTCTTATTAAGCCTTAATCACTGAATAGGCTTTGCCTCAGTCAAATTGAGACCAGTTACATTCCTGAGCTTGAAAAGGCCAAGGTCCCCTACTGCATCCTGGGCCATTTCCAGTTATCCTGACCTATATCTTGGCCACTGGACTCAGATGGCTCCAGAGGTGAAAGTGGGGCTGGTGATTATGCACAGCTCTCCCTCACTTAAATCAAATTCATTTGCATGTCATGACATCACCTTCCTCATGTCATGGTCCTCTTCGAGAATGAAGAGCAAACAGCAGCAATTAATTCTCCCCCTCCCCCAACATGCAATCTTTCACTAAATTGAAATCATGGGCCTCTTTTCATGTTCACAAATTCAGAAACGTTAGTGGTTTGGCACACCTAGAATCTATTAGAAATCTAGATACCCCAAATACCCAACACTCTTTCTGCTTAATCAAGAAAGTGAGAGGAAAGGGAGAAAAGAGGGAGGAAAAGGGGGGAGAGGGACAACAGGAAGAGAGGGAAGAGAAGGGAAGGGAGGGAGGAGAGGGAAAGAAGATAAGGGACAATAATGTCTGTATTTTGAACTCCCAGGCACTGCTCTAGAACAAAATTCTGGGCCCATTTCTAGTTGACCTAAATGTTTGTCAACGACACTTACAGAGCACCCATTTTGGGAAAACTAAGGAAGCAGAACATAAAAGTTCTATCTTTCAAAGAAACACAGAAAAAGATATACAAGGTGTCAATAAAGTGATCTTTCTATATTCAAGAACATTAGCTTCCACAAACTCAACAAAAAACTGCCTCACAGCAGACCTCAACATGCAATACTCAATTTCTATGATACAAAAGCTGGCAACATTGTTGCTGCTAGTTTGTCAATGTCTGCCCAACTTCTAGATGGTTTGCCCTGCAATTGAAACATAGTGTTAAATTATTTTTGTGGTCAAAAATAACTAACTTGTGAAACCTTTACCTTTACTAAGTGTACTACTATGGAAGGCAGTTAGCTTATCATAATTATTTCCAATAGTCCTTTAGGGCCATGGAAATACCCCCTACAAAGAAGTCAGATCCCCAAAGCACCAACATCAGATACTCTGCTTAGTGAACTACGTACATCTCCTTCAACACTTACAGAGTCAGTAGCTTTAAAGTCTGCCTTGTTTCTGAGGGAAGGACCATTCAGCTAACAAACCAAGCTGTTAATGAGTCTAGTAACTGTGTTCTTCATGAATAGGATTTAATACTCAAGGAGAGTCCATGAAAATACTATATGTAATCTGGATGAAGTTACTAGAAAAGTATGGTTTGTATTCTAGTTTGGCCAAAATGGACTAAAACGACTTGCTTTTTTACACACAACTACTCACCAGCCAATCTTCTCTGACTTTATAAATATGTCAATAAATTCAATTCAAGCCCCCTATCAGTTTTAAAATCTATTATTTTAGACTGTTTCAATATCTCTACCCTTAGAAGCAAAGTCAGAAACAACCTCATTACCTTTAAATCACCAGAAATTGTCTACATTGGAAAAGCAAGTCTCAAGTAGATAAATTTGATAAAATTTATCTATAGAGCTGCAGAAACAGATCTGCAGACAAAGTAAGCCTGGACATGAAACTCAGGACCACACATGATACCAGAACTAAAGATTCATTTCACAGCTTCAACAAAAGATTCAAAAACAAGCCTAAAGGGGGGGAAATCAATTTTGCAAATGATTTCATGGTGCATCATTAGACAGGAAATTCCCAGCTCTAGGTACTTCATTAAGTTACTCTATTACAGCTGATGTTCAGCTAGGCATTCAATATGCGCTTGGAAAAAAAGGCTTTGGTTTTTTTTTTATATTTTTGTGGGGTTTTTTTATATTCCAATCATTTCTACTCCTCAACCATTTCTCAGACTCCCTCTAAGTGTCCAGTACTATGCCTACCTCCAAGGAGATATACAAATATATGATTAAATACAAAATAAACACCAAGTAATTGTGGTATGTGTTTGGGGGAACTGAGGATGGGGAGACAAGATGACTATGTTGTGAAAATCGAGAAAAGTCTCTTGAGGTGGCATTAAAGCCTGGGTGGAGAACTGAGGCATGTCAGAGGAGGAAGTGAGATGACTGAGCACAGATCCCACCATGGAAAGTGACCTCAGTCAGTCCATCTCCCCAGCCCCCTGCCAAAACCTTCCAGATCAATCAAGGGCAACAGTTCAGCTAAACTAACCAATAGGGTGACTTACATGACTGTATGTCACATGTGCTCCCTCCTGAGACCCCCATTCCATAAAAAGGGAGGAGTTTCACCATCTGTTTTCTGCAATCAATATTGGTCTATTGCACTTAATCTCCAACAGCGCCTTTCGATGTTATTTTCATTTACATTATTGTAGTCATTATGCTTTCTTTGCTCCCAGTTTCCCCCATTTTCTCACCACTCTTCTTCAAAACATGGTGGGTGGGTTGGCGCCTGTGTGCATCTCCACCTATTGTGTCCTTTGTTTCTACTTTTTTTTTTTTTTTTTTTTTTGCTACCAAAAAAAGAGCTGGTAAAAAGCCACGTTATGTACCGGGCCTTTCTTTTCCTCTCCTTGGGGCATAATCCTAGTAGAAGAATTGCTGGGTCAGGTCATGAAAATTCTCATAACGTTTCCAGATTACACAAAAATCCCAACAATCCCTTAAAACAGACTATTTCTATCTTATGTTTGCTAATGGGCATGAGATGAAACCTCAGCGTTTTAAAAATCTGTATTTTCTCTCAGTGACTGGAATATTTTTTCTGCATGATTGTTGACAGTACTGAAAAACAGGCATATAAACTACTTGTTCCTATCCTGTGCCCACTTAACCAACGGAGAATGGCCCTGCCTCTTAGACATTTGTGGCAATTTTCTAGACGCCTCAAGAGTCAGATTTTTACAAGACGTTTGCTGGCTAGTAAGGGCCACTGAGGAGAGCAGTTGACGACTGTACCCCTCCCTCTTCTCGGCAGGGGGCTGTGGGGGTGGAACGGGGCACCTTTGGCAGAAATTGCGGCGATTTTGCCTAAATGCTTTTGTTGTAAGCGAAGGCTCGATGAGGCATCGGTACAAGACCGGGGCAGGCTGGCTAAGGCTCTGTAGTTGGGTCCTCTTCGGTCGCTGCCATTATGATATCCATTTTACAGAAGAGGAAACTGCGGCTGCGAGGTGAAGAGCTCTGCCCCGGGTCTGACGGGCCAAGCAGAGGCAGGATCTGAACTCGGCCCCCCAAGGCACCCCTAAAGCGCTTGGGGCACTAACACGAAGGACGGCCCGCCGTGGGCTGGGCCGGACCCAGAGGTGCCGGCCGCGGGCTCGGGGGCTCTCGCGCTGCCCTTTAGGAGCAGCCCCCCGCCCTCGCCCCACGCCCGCCAGGTCCCGCCGCCCCCTCCCCCCGGCCCCTCCGTGCCGGACTCGGCCACTCACCGACTCGGCTGCCGCCTCCTGTTCGTCCACCGCTAGGGCCCACGAGTCGGTGGCCATGGTCCCGAGGAAGGCGGAGAGGCAGCGGCGGCGGGACGCGGCGGGGCAGTGAAGCTCGGCGCGGGGCCGTGCGGGAGAACGCATGCACCGGCAATGGCGCCGCGGGCAGAAAAAGACAGGCTGCGAGCGAGAGGCGGGGAGGCCGCGCGCCGCGCCGAGGAGCCTCACTGCGCCGGCGCGGGCCCCGCCCCCTCGGCCCGGCGGGCAACGCGGCCGCCGCCGTCACCGCTTCCACCCCGCGGCTGCTCGGGCAGGAAGCGCCTCCCCTACCGTACCCCCTTCCCCGCGCCCCCGCAGCCCCAGCCCCCGCAAATCCCGGCTCGGCTATCTCGGTACCCGGGACGCCCCACTCCTGCTCCTCGGCGGGAATCCGGGCCCACGTCTCGAGGAACACCCGGATTGCTTCCCACAACGAACGAGCCCTTGTCTGCAGTCCCTGTCCCCATGAGAAGCATTCTGATAATGCTCTGTTGACCCCGCAGAACTAGCCGAGTGTAGTGGCCGCACCGGCCCCGAGTTAGGAAGCCCTGGATTCGAGTTCCCCCTCGGATACATTATAGCCGTGTGACCCTGGCCAAGCAATGCTCTAGTACCCTCACATGCAGGACCCATGCCTGAACACGTGGGAGCCCCACCCTGAGAGTTCTCCACCCCAATGAAATGACAGGGCCAAACCACACCCACCAAAAAACAATCTTAAAGGAAATCATTTTGAACTCAGTTTTCGAAATTTTTTGTTGGTCCAATTATCAAGTAATAATTAGTAGTTTTTCTGCCGTCACTGACTCTTCATGACCCCATTTGGGGTTTTCTTGGCAAAGACACTGGAGTGGTTTGCCATTTCCTTCTTCAGCTCTTTTGACAGATGAGGAAACTGAGGCAGAGTTGAGCGACTTGCCCTGTGTCACACACATAGTGTCTGAGACAGGTGATTCCCAGCCCAATGTGCCATCTAGCTTCCCTAGGTTATACTGCTATTTTATTTGAAAGAATAGACTGCTTTCCATTTTAGGTCCCTAAATCTGATTGTTGAAAAGGTGGTTGGGAATGTTGCTTCTACACTTCACTCACTAGGGTGATAGGTAACTGCTGCGGTATTGAGAGATGAAGGCTGTGCAGGAGGAAATGTGGGGAATGGGAGATGACATTAGGGGCAGAGACTTACGTGGGGACATTAGGCGTGAGGCTAGCCATCCCCAGCCAATGGGGAATCAGAGGAGGGACGTCCCATTTCTGGCCAGGGAATAAAAGGGTGTGCCCACACATGGGACACCCTGCTTGCTGTTAATAAGTTTTTCTGGTTCACCAATAGCTTCTTGGAACTTTTGTTGCTAGCAAATGGGGGCTTGTCTGGGATTCAGACATCCTGAGTGAGGGGTGACCTCGAGGAAGGTTAGGAAGACTCATCCTGTTGATTTCAACCATCCTGTGTATCCTGGGCAGATGACCCAGCTCATGAACTGTTCAAGATCCTAGGACACAGTTAATGAGTGAGGCCATTGTTGAACCAGGAACAAAAAGGGAAAGGGGAAAAGTAGGCACTGGGCAACCAGGCAACTCGGTGAACAGACCAAGGTAGGAAAAGAGGATATTAAGTATTGTCTTGAATAGTTTACCTATTGGATTTATGGAGAATGGAAGAATTCATGATCAGACAGGAGATGGAGAACATTAGGAAATGCAAAATGGATAATTTTGATTACATTAAATTGAAAAGTTTTTGCACAAACAAAGCTAATGCAACCAAGATTAGGAGGAAAATGGAAAATTGGGAAAATTTTACAACCAATGTCTCTGAAAAAGGCCTCATTTCTAAAGTATATAGAGAATTAAGTCAAATTTATAAAAATATAAGTCATTCCCCAATTGATAAATGGTCAAAGGATATGAACAGGCAGTTCTCAGATGAAGAAATTAAAGTCATCTATAATCATATGAAAAAATGCTTTAAGTCACTATTGATTAGAGAAATGCAAATCAAAACAACTGAGGTACCACATCACACCTATCAGACTGGCCAAGATGACAGGATAATGATAAATGTTGAAGATATGGGAAAATTGGAACACTAATGCATTGTTGGAGTTGTGAAATGATCCAACCATTTTGGAGAACAATTTGGAACTATGCCAAAAGGGCTATAAAAATGTGCATACCCTTTGACATAGCAATACCACTTCTAGGGCTGTATCCCAAAGATCATACAAATGGGAAAAGGACCCACATGTACAAAAATACTTAACAGTTCTTTTTGTGGTAAAGAATTGGAAATTGAGGGAATGCCCATCAATTGGGGAATAGCTGAATAAGTTGTGTTATGTGAATGTAATGGAATACTATTGTGCTATAAGACATGAGGAGCAGGGAGACTTCAGAAAAACCTGGAAAGACTTGTATGGACTGATGCAGAGTGGAATGAGCAGAACCAGGAGAATGTTGTACACAATAACAGCCATGTTGTGTGATGACCAACTTTGATAGACTTAGCCCTTCTCAGCAATGCAAGGATCTAAGACATCTCCAAAGGTCTCATGATGGAAAATGCTATTCATATCCAAAGAAAGAACTATGGAGTTTGAATGCAGATTGAAGCATTCTATTTGCTCTTTTGTTTTTCCTGCTGTGTTTTGTTTCCTCTTTCTGGTGGTTCCTCCTATTGGTTCTAATTCTTCCTTACAACATGACTAATGTGAAAATATGTTTAATAGGAATGTATATGTATAGCCTATATCAGATTGTGCATTGTCTTAGGGAAGGAGGGGGAGAAAAATTTAAAACTCAAAAGCTTATGGAAGTGATTACTGATAAATCAACATAAATTAATAAAAAAATTTTTTTAAAGTATTGCTTTGGTGGTTGGGACCAAGGTAAGAAAAGAGGACTATTAAGTACTACCTTGGTGGGACATCTTACTGGGGGTCCAGAGACTGAGTAAGTCTCAGACAAATAAGTAAGATGGGGAATAAGCAAAGGCATCAGGGAAACCAGGGGAAATAATGAGACCCCTGTGGACATTCCTCCAGATAGTCCCTTAGGGAGGATGTGGAAATACTGGGAAGATATAGACGATAGAAATATAAAAAAATCACAGCTGATATCAGTTAACTTAGCCTATAAAGTCAACAAGAAAATTAGTGTGACAGAAAAGACAAGAAAATTAGATTAGAACTGTTTCTGTCTCTGTTTGTAAAATGTTTCACATTTGCCGTGAAAGATTTAAAACAAAGGTCTGTAATTAGAGAACACTGGGAATCAAAAAGCAGGGAAAGACTTCCTCAGAAGTTAGTGGAAGGTGCAGTAAACAGCCTTTACAGCAGAAAATAGGGAGAATTGAGAGGAAAAAGCTAAGGGTTTGAATTCAGGTTTAATAAGATCTCAAAGCTATTTGTGAGGAGTATGGGGTAAATACAGCTCTCTTGATTTGCAAATTATTAGGCGTTAATTCCCTCCTGATTTCATCTGGTGCAATTGGGGGAACTGACCACACCCTGTTGGCATTGATTTAAATTCCTCTGGTTGTCTGAGTCAAACTCTTAGCTAACCTGAGAGTGATTACAGTTGATTTTAAGCTAATTGTAAAACTTATATGCAGGAGTCTCAGACTCCCAGGAGAACTGAAATGCTTTGGGTAGTTTTTATCTGATAAGCCTCAAAAAATACTTTTCAGCTTTCTTAAGGAAATAAGTTATTTAGAGCTAGGAACTGCATCTATGAACTGCGGAGGGTGTTCTCATGGAAAAGTCGGGACAATTGGCTACTCAGTGTGAGCTGAGGTAGGATTCTCCTGACTCAATTTCCTCACTGTGACACCTGGCTCAATGCAGTTGGCCATTATATAACTTATGCCTGGGATTGACATGAAGTTAGAAAAACATTGTTCCCTTTAGTTATGGCAAATTTCATAAGTTTTGTAAGATAAATTGATGTGGGAATATCTGAGTTTATTTATACTAAGATGCAATATAAGATTGAGCTATTTGGCCTAGAATTTTAGATAAGTTAGGGTCTTTTAATTCCTCATAATGGTATGGGGATTAGGCCCAGGGCCTGTGAAACCAGGATATTTGTTGTTACTTAGCCTTACCTGTCTCAGTTTGTTACAGTTAGTTAATGTGAAAAGAATGGCTTATGGTCTATCTTGTAAATGCCTTAAAAGAAGCATCCATTTTAATTAAGGGTTATTTATTTGTACATGACCAGAAGTTGGAATTGTTTTATTATGTATGTATTGGAGTCTTATTTCTTAGTAGAATCTCATCTTCCTAATGGGGGAATATGAAGAATGAATAATTCTTAAACATGACCATTGGCTGAGGTTCCAATTGTGATCCTATAATAATAGAGACGTAAGGGCAAGGTAATTTAAAAATGTGTTGAGATCAATCTTGTAGGAGAGTGGACACAAGAAAAAGGATTTCTACAAGAAGACAGTCTGCTGGACACTGCTAGAATAGCACTTAGACCAGAAAACTTCACCAGATGATGCCCAGAACATCAATCAGACAACTGCATAAGATGCCTTAAATGGACTATTGTTACTTTTTCCCTTTGAGTTTGTCAATGTGACAGTCAATTTCTCCCTCTCTTCTCCCATATTAAGTTCCCAAAACCCCTTGATGAAATGTTGCCCAACATCACAGCACCAGATGGACCGGGATGGTTAGAATATGAATTAAGATGCAGGCTCAACAGAGTAAATAAAAGGAAAAGGGAGGATTGTGGTTGGGAATGTTACTTCTGTATATCACTCATTAGGGTGATGAGTAGCTGAAGGGGTATTAACAGCTGTAGGCTGTTGACAAGGAAATGTGTGGAATGGAAGATGTATTTAGGGGCAGAGACTCAAGTGGGGAAATTAGGAGTTTGGGATAGGCTGTAACTGCTGTAGTCCCCAGCCAATGGGGAATTAGAGGGACTTCACATTTCTGGATAGGGAATAAAAGGCTGTGTTTTCACGCCTCAAGGGTGTGCCCACACGTGGGACGCCCTGCCAGTTGTTAATAAAAAGCTTTTATCTGGTTCACCAATAGCTTCTTGGAGCTTTTGTCCCTAACGTGATAGGATTAACTGTACTTATTTTAACAGAATTCCACTACAACAATTTGGCGTTAGTCTATGGACTAGATTATTCTAGAAACTACTCTGCATTCATTTAACTCCACCATCACCATAGGAACTGATGAGCAAGCGCTACTTAAACCAGGTAGGTTAAGGGGGTACATCCATATGCATCTGACAGGGGCCCCCCAACTGGTCAATCACAGGGGCGGAAAATCAGTCTTCAAAATTAATGCAGAGAAGTCATGGTACTGATGGGGTTGGAATCTGGGCCCCAGAAAGGCAATACCCTGGACTTTCCTAAATGGTCAAATCTCTGGCGTTCCCCTGAGGCTATAATCTCATCAACTGGTCTTTGTGGCTACACCCAATCTCCCCTCCCTTGTCTTACCTCCCTACAGCCCCAGGCCACTTCCCACCCTTGGTAATTCTATTGCCTCATGGACTACTTGGCCACTCCCAGATCCCTCCCACAATCTTTCTGTATATAAAGTCCATCTTGTCTCCATTAAGACGCTCTGATTCCTTAAGATGCTCAGATTCCTTAGGAGTCTAGCTAATATGGCGAAGCTTCAATAAACCTTGTTTTTGACTGCAAGAAGGCTTGGGTTGAATTCTCTAGGGCAGGACCCGGGTGTCGTGATTTTGGGATTCCAGGACCCCTAACCTCCAGATCACATCAGTTCCACTGCTGAGCTCCTTTCCCCTAAACTGATGGACTGAGGGCAAATTGGTAACAAAGCTCCCTTCCCATTGGAAGTCAAGTTGTAGGGCATTATTGATGACACTAGGTCTCTGGTTCAATGGGAACCCCATAATATAGTTAGAAATTCCTTTCTACCCCAACCTTGTTTAATCCAAAGATACACTATATGCTAATTGGTATGAATATAGTCTAGTGTTCTAAAACTCTATCTTAGTGTACCAAGTCTCCTGGTCCCAGGATCTTTTTATTTCACTGATTTCTTGATATGGAAATAAGTTAGACTTCAATTTAGGCTATCTATTTAGGAAGACTTTACATCTGAGTTCCTAGTTTGTAGGGTCTGGGGACCTGAGATCATCCAGTCCAAACTCCTTCATTTTACAGAGGAGAAAATGGAGGAAGGCAAGTTGGGGGTGGGAGGAGGAAGTTACTGTACAAGGTCACACAGCCTGAAGGAGCATTACCATTCACATCCAGGTCCTCAGACTCTTAAGTCCAATCCTTCTGTCATTACACCTTGCTGACTTAGAAACAGTTGATCCAGTTAGATCAATCCTTTAATCAATCAAAATAAGTCAATAATTCTTGGTCAACAAGGGGTCTCAAGATCCATTCTCTGATCCCCACAGCCTTCTACAAAATGGAGTCCATAAAACACATTTCCTTACTCTTCCACATTGCCATCAATTTTGGGGTGGGTAAGAAAAAGGCCTGAGGCCAAATGGGATCCATTTTGACTTAGCCTTCCCATCATTCTCATCCTCAACAGCAATATTTACACCCCCCACAAGAAGGGTGAGAAGAGGCCCAGGACCTCAGCTGGGTCTTGGCCACTTTTCCTGACCTCCCCCCCACCCCTGGCAGCGGCAGTTACAACAGCTCCAGCTGCCATTGAACCCAGGCTTTGGGGAATACTATAGTTAGGGTCAGATGTGTAGGCTGGGACAGCCAACCAGATGAGGGGAAGGGGCACCAAAAGGAGCCTGCCCTCTTCTGGGTAGACATCTTGGGGCAGAAGAAGTAACTGTGTGAAAGGATCTAACCTGAGAGAAAGACAGGAAGGTGCATTTTATTGGTCTTTAATAAGGCAAAGAAACCAATCAACATTGTCTTATTTTTCCTGTTAGGCAAATAGCTGCAGAGAATTACCCTGCTGGCTGTAGTTAAAATAATGGTGATAATGTCAAGTCCTTGGAACTTTTCCCTCGACAGCAACTTGAAAAGAATCCACCAATCAATAAATCAATCAACATTTATTAAGCACCTACTATGTATCAGGCACTGTGCTGGGAATACAAAGATTGAGACAATCCCTACTCTCAAGGAGCATACATTCTATTACTTCATTCACACTTGTGAAGCTTCTGGAGAGTATGAAATAAAACATTTCACAAACCATCTTATAGTGGGTTAAATGGGGCACTAAGAGGAAATATGTTTCAGGGATTTCTCAAGCAGGAAGCATGAAACAGATGTGAGACCTACATGATCTCTGCTGCTCATACACAACCCATTTTACAAGAAGCCACTATGAGTTTGAAGACTAGACATTCACTGGATAAATGAACTTGACATTTTAAGGAGGTAAGGCAGTCCTCACAGATGACTCCAGAATAAAATACTCCCAATCTAACTTATTATTCTACATGACATCTTAACTACTTGGCATACTCCAAAGTAGAAGACCTAGGTTACTTAAATTTGAAAAGTATTTACTGAGTGGCTACGTATTCAGCACATAAATGTGAGCCATAATGAACAGATGGCCTTAGGAAACTATTAGCACTGACTTGCCCAGAGAGATTGACTAATGGTGCACATAGTAAGACTCACTTGTTAACTATGTCAGTTTTCTGTACTTTGCAGATCGTGCAGTTACCCGGGTTCTGTCTGAAACCACTCCCTCCAGCATCAAGGTGTTCAGAAAAAGGCAACAATGAATGGTACGAGGGATGCTGTCCAGAGAAGTGAAAAATCATTAAGTCTGTTGTTCAAAAAATAAAACATTTGTCTGTTACAGTATGATTCAGTTTAGCTTACAGGTTAATAAAATTAACAACCAACACATTATTGAGAATTGGCCTACTTCCATTGTGCTGGCACGACTGAGTGCTCCCGAATCCACCCCAGGAATTTAATGCAGTTAACAGACTTTTGGTTTAATCAAAATTTTTTCTATGCATAAATAATGTGGTTGAGTTTTCATTCATTCCTGGTTTCTAGGAGTAGTAATAATAAGCCAGTTCAGAGGTACAACAATTGGCATATGGTTCCTGGGGCCACAGAGCCCACAGACTGGATATTCTCTTGTCTCCTCTAGTTCAGTAAATTGGATAGAGAGCTGAGGTCTAGTCACACAGCAGTGCAATTAACCCCAAAGTATTCAGCTCTAGACAGGGGTCCTCAAAAGTTCAGAAAGCTCCTGGAGTGCACAAAATATCCCTGTCGTGGTCTCTTATGCCCTCACTCCATGCTGGGACACAAGGCTGCTTACAAGTAAGGAAGGCCCTCAGTCTGGCCTTTCCTTCACTCCTACTTAGGTCCCTTTAATTGAAAATAAAGGCTAAGGGGGTTAAAGTATTTAAAAGCTGAGGGTCTGAGAGCTAAAATAAACCTGAAAGGCTTCCTTCAATTTCTCCTCCACTCACCCTCTACAACTAAAGCTATTATAGTTAGGTCTTTTCCCCTGGTAGGTCCCAACATCAAGGAAGCTTTTTAGGCCAAGGCATCAGTGAGACATTGGGCGCATAAGTATTCACAAAAGACCAGAACCTGTGGAGATGACCCTCATTTCCTCCACATTGATCTTCCTAGAAGACCAATCCCATCATTTCACTCCCTTCAGGATTTATGATTTCCTACTGACTACCAGGTTCCCATTCCCCTTCCTCTGTAAGGATTTATACCTCACGTATCTAATCTGCTCTCCCCAGGATTCACTGTCGTCCTTTGGTCCCTCTATAAACCCCATATTTATCCTTGCCTCTATAGCTCTGTACCGACTCAGTATCTGTCTACCGAGCACACCCTTCCAGTTCCTGTTACTTCTGTTATTGCTCTTTCAAAGCCAAATTCAAAATTCTTCTCTTTCATGAAGTCTTGCCTGAATAATCTCACACTTCAAAAAAAAATTTTTTTCTCTCAATTCCTGGACCATTATACAAGTCTTGATGTTAATTAAAAAAAAAAATAAGTGGTGATAAAACAACCCTGAAGCCTCATCCATCTCCATTCCCTGGGCTGAGAAGGTAGAACATAATGACATTTTATTTTACTTTTACTGCCTTTTTTTTCCTGAAGAGCTTGCAGTGCCAAATATCCTTTTGTTTGTTTTTTTAATCAGAGATCAGGAGTGTAAGGCTCCCAAAAGGGGCTGACCACAATGTCCTTGTGATTTGAGTTTCTGTGAATTTAGTCTTCGATACAGTGGCCACCCTAGGGTTAAAGGTACAGAATAATAATTTCAGCACATACACAAACTTATAAAACCATGTGTCAACATGAGTCAACAGCAAAGGGCTAATCAAATAAAACCCAGCAACCAAAACTATGTTGTTCCCTATCTTCCTATATTGATAAATTAAGAAAAAAACCTTAGTAACATCTTTTTCATAATTGGTTAAAATCTATTAATGTAACAAAGTAGGGAATGGATATACAGTTAGGCATTTTTTTATCCATACAGTCATATATGATGCTCAAGTTGCCAATGAAGACATTTTTCTATTGACAGGCAGTATATAGAGTTCTAACCAGTGCTGATTAGCAACTCTGCTCAAAGGCACAGGTCAGAACCAGAAACCGATCCTACTAAAGCAGTTCTAGACTACTGTATTCATTTTTCTCTCTTCCCTGCCACATATGCTCCATAGCATCCACGGCCATGCCCTACATGCCTTAGCAGATTTCATTAAGAAGGCCATAGCCCACGTGGAGGCAGCAACAGTCCACAGCTCCTGGGTCCTTTCAAGAAGCCTGACAGAAAAGGCAAAGATAAGACACAGACAATAAAGGAGCAGCACAGACTATTCAAGGGAGAAAAAAGACCAGACCCAGTCACCCCTCCTAGATTTCCTAATTTCCCTCCTGCTAGAGAATCCTTTGGAGGCTCACCGGCCCTTGTCCTCTATTGCTTCTCTCTTAGATCTGCAGGATAAAACAGCAGCTGAGATACAATGCTTGGAGGACCAGCCAACACCCCAGCAGGAAGCCTGCTCTCCCTGTCCCTTAACCAGATTTCCATCAGGTTAGACAATTATCTCAACCCAACTAATCCAAACCATCCTTCTGTCCATTTAACTTCATCTATGAAGAGGAAAGGTAAAGATTAGCTTGAAATTCCCTTGTGTTTAAGAATGGGGTTGGGCAAAAAGGCAAGGAGGAAAAATGGAACCAAAAGCATCAAGGAAGTCAAGGAAAAATGCTCAGAAAGATCAACCAAAAGGTTGAAGACGATGGATCAGCTTTCTTATGTAAGTGCAGCCCACACTGATTAGGACTCAAAAGAGCAGATATTAAGATATGCCCATTCTTAGACTGAAGGAGATGCTATCAAAGGATCCTATGGGTTCTGCCTCTCACCAACAGTGTACAGGAGAGAAAGAAGCTTTATAACCCAAGAGATGGGGACACCTATAAAGCAACCTGTGCCATGAGCATACCTCACAGATACGATAAACTACCTTACACATCTACCCCCCTAGCTAGAGAAGCTCAGAATCCATTTATAGCGTGTCTGGTGTCTGGAGCAATTCTTCAATGATAAAAATAATTAGTCCTTTGGGGTTGAGAAAGTGGAGTCAGAGAAGCAGCAGCATTTCTTGAAAAGCTGTAGTGGTTCCTCCACCCTTTCCTTTGGATCTCTTCTGTTTAGGAAATCAGGACCACCAAAATGCCTTAAATCCACCAAATAGCTACGCTCCCCCCTCCTTTCCTTGGATGTGAGAAGCTTAGGAAGGCCATGCTATTTTGAGAGGCACCAGTCTGGGCTAACTGTTCAATAAAATAGGGATTTTTCTTCTTGAAGAAAAGAGGAGAAACCTAGATGAAGATATCCAATCCTGGGGGGACAGGAGGGTGGCAACATTGAAGCACACAGAGATAGCTGTGGTTTATCCTTGTTAGGGCTCCACACTGTTCCTGCCCTTCTGTCATTTTTTAAAGAGGCTGCACAGTCCAGTTCAGATACTAAAAAGAACAAATTACTGTTACCAGTATAAAAGTTTCAGTGCAAGATGGCCCCAGGGTGGTTTTTTTGGTTACCACTGATGAGTAAGATAGAAATAAGCCTGAAATTAGGCCTGAAGATAAAACAGGTCATCGAAAGGGTATTTCTAGTCCACTTCTAATTATGATTGCAGGTATTTGCATACCAACCACCTCAGACACCAAGTTAGAATCAATATTTGGAAAGGACACCGTATATCTCAGGTGATTCCTCCTAAGCTTTACCTTTTGGATCTAGACAGCAATGCCAGACTGACAATATGTGGCCACTGCTGGCTATGGTGTCCATGGTATCTTCCAATCTCATTCAAATACTTCCTTCTGGCTTTTTCAGTTGAGTCATACAAGCAGAGACTCCAGTGTCTGGTTCTGCTGAAGAGGAACAGATCTAAGACCATTTGTCTACTTTCCATCTGTTACTACTGAAGGATCCTGGGCATTTTAGGGATGCTGGAAAGATACTGTCTACCAGGCACCAGCAGAACAGCCACATGGAGTAGAATGAAACGTATGATGCTACACCGGCATTTGTACTGACTCATGCCAGTACACCAGTCATTCCCTTAAGTGTATCCCAAGAGAGGTTAAGCTAGGACGCTGGGAAAGAAACCTAAATGTAAGAAAGGTTCCAAATTTAAGTAAAATTGTCAATCTTCAGCCAATTCCTTACTGCTTTGCCTGGCAAAAGGGTAAAGGTATCCCTATCCCAGATTTGCTCCATCATCCTAGCCTAGGAAATCTAACTCATAAAACACATCTGATTCCCTTACTCCACCCAATCAAACAGTGAAGCATGGCTCAGCCCTGGTGGCTGGCACTACATAGCTCCTACTACTCAGTTTCTTCCTAACTTCTACTACGTCAATTTTGCAGGTAGATGCAGACAGGTATATACACTAACATACGCCTATCCTAGGCGAAAGAAGAGACATCTATACACTACCACAAGGGGGCCAAGAGTCAGAGACTAACTAAAGCTTTGACAGGTCCTTAGTTTACATTTAAGACTGGTACACATAAACTTTAAATAAGAGAGAAATTTGCGAATAAGGTAATTTCTGTGTATTCATGCCTAATCTTATGAGCTCATGTAAACATTTTTTCTCTTTCTACCCTCCCTCCATTAATTGCACAATTTTTTTTTTTGTTAAGTCCAAACATAATTTGAAATGAGGTAGGTAATTTCTATGTATTCCTGCCTTAGTCCTTTTTGGTGACTAGTTGAGAATTATGCCAATTTGAATAACAAATAGTCCAAATGGAGCTGGAGATGGACATCCACAGAGTGTAGGTCAACTCTAGCCAATGCTTTTCAGTTGGCTATTTTCTCAATCTCATCCAGATCATCGGTGTCCAATCTGTCTATCTTCTTATCTGCAAAGAAATTAAACCAGAGAGAATCAAAATAGGGCCACCTTGGACAGTTTATTTCAGCTACTGTTGCAACATGAGGACAACCTACAAACCTCTGTTTTATCTAAAAGCAGTATCCAACTACTGGCCAAAATGCTCCTTCCTCATCTGACTGATGAAACCTTGAAGCAACTGAGCATGGCATCGAGCACCACATGACAACCCAGACGTGCTCATGTGAGGGCTTTGGCCCCAGGATGAAAGAATGGGCCCTGCTCTTCTCTCCCATCCCTACTTCTCTAACAAAACCAGGAGGGAGATGGAAGAGGAGAGACCCAGGCCTTTGCCCAAGAGCCCTGGGCTTGCCCATTTAACGGCCAATGGGCCACAGAGGGCACATGCTCTGGGACACTCACTGAAATGTTCTTCGATCCTTTTGAGAATGTTCATGCTGTGCTTGCTGTCTACCATGTTCACGGCCAGGCCTCGCTTGCCAAAGCGCCCCGTGCGCCCAATCCGATGCAGGTATGTCTCATTGTCTGGATTCCCATCCTTGTCCACTGGCAGGTCAAAGTTGATAACCACAGACACCTGTTCAACATCAATACCTACAGTGCAGGAAGATGGAGGAGACACAGAGAAAGCAGACCAAAAAAAAAAAAAAAAGCACATGACACCCACAGTCTAATCAGTGAGAGTCTAGCACTAGCAGCTGTTACCCACAAAACAAGATTTTATACCCTATGGGTATAAAAGAGTACAACTTGAATGGACATTCAGATCCACACAAAGTGATTCTCTGGTCTGAAGGACTCAAAGATTTCTCCCAGACCCACCTGGAGGATGGACTGGGGAAGAGGGGGTTCTATCTCAAACTGCCTGATGCTATTAATTTGCCACAGCTAATACTGGAGCTACTTAAGCAAACAGTAGCAAATATGAGGCAAGGAGGAAAACCGAGGAGCCAGAACCCTGGATCAGGGAGCTGAGCAAGTTCTCTTCTCCTACAGCTTAAGATCAGGAGATCTCCACAACATCAAGAACAGAAAATTCCAAGAGGATCACCTAGCTGCCGACCCCAGACAAACCACCTGCAGGCTCAGACATCATATTTGTACCCTGGGGGGAATGACCACGTGCTCAGCATTGCCATGGAGGGCAATCCAATTCCCAGCAGACCATTTCTGCAAAGGCAGAGGGAACTGCTGATTGAGGCTCTGGGAAAACCCAAACTGCCCTTGCTAGAAAGGGGATCACAGCCTCCCTCCTGTTCTTTCCTAAGCCCCGAGGCCTCCACATGGGACAGTCTCTTCTCACCTCGAGCACACACATTGGTAGTCACCAACACTTTCTCCTTGCCCTCTCGAAAACGCTCAATCACGGCAGCTCTCTGTTCCACCATCATTTCGCCACTCAGAAGGGCCACCTGGTGGCCTTCTTTGGATAGTTCAGCTGCCAGCCAACCAGCTGTTTTGCGGGTCTGGAGTGAAAAGAATTTTTTAAAATGGAAATACCTGCAAAAAAAATTAAAGCACCTGCAAAAAATGGCTTTGTGTCACTGAAATAAATGGCGGCTCTAATTCTGAAGGCAACTAAAGAGTTAAAATTATTAAAATGGCTCTGAGCGTTTCAAAAATAATTTGGAAGAATCTGTATTTTGGAACTTTTTTTTTTTGCACAACTGCAAAACAGAAACCACACTTGGCTTTAGTTTTCCCCTAGCTTTTCCTTACACTTATGATAAACTCTGGAGCTCCAGAGAATTTCTCTTCTTATTATGATAATTCCTTGGTAAATAAATTTCTGGCTGAAAAGGCAACGGCCAAGTTGACAACACACAAGTTGAATTTTACCTCCTTGGTGTTACAGCTGGATGCTACTCACATGACAGAAGATCATGGCTTGTGCAATGGTGATGGCCCCATAAAGATTACAAAGGGCTTGAAACTTTTCATCGCGGTTATTGCACATCACATAGTACTGTTTAATGGTGTCCAATGTCTCTTCCTCTCGTTTCAGTTTGATGATGTTTGGGTCTGGGACAACTTTCCGTGCAAACCTCCACACAGAATCTTCAAAGGTAGCAGAGAAAAGCAGCATCTGACAAGCCTTAGGGAGCATCCTAAAAGGCAAGCCCACATTATTCAGCATTAACTGAAGTCCTGAATTGGAGGAATACAGAATGCACTGCCCTCACAGGTCACTATGGTCCTTATATTCCAGAATGTTGTGTAACTGCGGCAGTGTAAAACATGGTAGAGAATAAGGATTCCCCAAGCCTCTCTTTTCATCCTAGGACTCAAAGCCAAACAAGCCAAAAATGGACAAGCAGGACTCAAGGATCCAGATCTCCCTCTCTATACCAGAATAAGTCAAAAGAAAACCAAGTGACTAATATTGAAGTTTCATATGGCATCATAAAATGTGAACATTTAAGTCCTATTTATATGCAGTAATAAATATAATAAGCCTTTTTAAAATAAACTTACTGAAGTTATAAACTCTCAATGATAGAGCATTATAAAATAATGGTGGGAGGGTGTCAGACTAGCTGATCTCTAAGGTCCTGTCCAGCTTAAAATCTGTCATCCTATGATCAGGAAGTTGGATGGTGTGATAGGGGATTAACCTGCTCAATCTTCTAATTTTTTTTTTAAACTTAAAGTAAATCAGTGTTAACAAAACAATCAAATCAACATACAAACCAAAAAGTAAGCATTTACCCCAAATCCATAACCTTTATTTAATAGGCAGAACCAAATGAATTAACAACTAACAAGCTAACAAAGACAGTACTTTTGTTTTTTCACACCATTTGTAACTACTTAAAATTCCTTCTTTCCTTTTATTTTTTCCCATGTACATGATACTTATCTGTCTTGGTTTTTCTTCTTTTTCTTTTTTTTGTTGCTGTTACATTTTAAGTTCCAAGCTATCTCCCTCACTCCCCACCCCAATGTGTGTATAAAACCATACTATGCATACTTCTATTTATCAGTTCTTTCTCTGGAATTGGATAGCATTTTTCATCACGGGTCCTTTGTAGTTGATTTGAATGTTTGTAATACTCAGAATAGCTTGGTCATTCAGTCACTCTTCAGTACTGCTGTTCTGTATACAATGTTCTCTTGGTTCTGCTTGTTTCACTTTTCATTACTTCATGTAAGTCTTTCCATATTTTCCTAAGACTATCCTGCTGGTCATTTCTTACAGCACAATAGTATTCCATCACAATCACATACAACTTGTTTAGCCATTTCCCAATTGATGGGCATCCCCTCAATCTCCAGTTCTTTGCTGCCACAAAGACAGTTACTATAAATATTTCTTGAATATATAGATGTGTCATGATATTAGGAGACACCCTGTTTTCCAGAGCTAAGGCCCAGCAAGCAGGCTATGCCCTGAGCTTGGCATAACAACAATCCTTTGCACTCACCCTCTGGATGATCTCACCTTTCTGCAAAATTCCACATAATTATTGTATTGCTTTGACCAGGACCGGCTCTCTGAGCTCAGACAAGTTCTGACAAGTACCTATGTTCCGTTCATGAACTATGACCTGCTATGAATCAAACTTGTCTCACTGTTGCTGTTACCCCTCATTGTCAGGGTTACAGGTCACTGCAGAGCCATTGGTCTCCCTACACTGCCATCAGATCCTTCCTTGCTTGCAAGCCATTTCCCTCACTTTGAAATTAAACTTCTGTCTGATTCCTGACTCTCCTGTCTCTAGCTTGCTCTGTTCAGCTCTGTCCACCCACAGGTTAGAGGCCACTCCACTCAGCTGACAGATTCTTTTCCTTTTTCCCTGATCACCTTGGGAAATAGACCTAATAGTGGTATTGCTGGATCAAAGGGTATACACAGTTTATAACACTGTGGGCATAATTCCACATTGCTCTCCAAAATGGTTAGATCAGTTCACAATTCTACGAACAATGTTTTAGCGTCCTAATTTTTCCACATCCTCTCCAACATTTGTCATTTTTCCCTTCTATCATTTTACCAATTTGATAAGTATGAGATGTTATCTCAAAGTTGTTTTAATTTGCATTTCTCTAATCAGTAATGATTGAGAGCATTTTTCATATTAGCTTTAATTTCTTCATCCAAAAACTGCCTGTTCATATCCTTTCACCATTTATCAGTTGGGAAATAACTCATATTCTTATAAATTTGACAAAGCTCTCTACATATTTGAGATATGAGACCTTTATTGAAGAAACTGTCTACAAAATTTTTCCCCAATTGTCTGCTTTCCTTCTAATCTTGGCTACAATGATTTTATTTGTATACAAACAAAATCTTTTTAATTTAATGTAATAAAAATTATCCATTTTACACCTCACAATGTTCTCTCTCGTTTATTCATAAATTCTTCTCCTAACCATAAATCTGATAGGCAATGTGTTCCATGTTCTTCTAGTTTTTTGCTATCTCCCTTTATATCTAGGTCATGTATCCATTTTGACCTTATTTTGGCAAATAGTATAAAATATTGGTCTATACCTAGTTTCTGTCAGACTGCTTTCCAGTTTTCCCAACATTTTTTTTTATCAAATAGTGAATTCTTATCCCAAAAGCTTAAATCTTCACATCTGTCAAACACAAGGTTACTATAATCATTTACAACTGTATATTGGATGTCTACTCTGTTCCACTGATCTACCTTTCTATTTCTTAGCCAATACCAGATAGTTTTGACAATTACTGCCTGTACTGCTAAGCCTCCTTCCTTCACATTTTTCATTAATTCCTTTGATATGCTTGACCTTTTGTCTTAAATGACTTAGGTTATTATTTTTTCTAGCTCAATAAAATAATTTGTTGGTAATTTAATGAGGATGGCATTGGGGCAGCTAGGTGGCACAGTGGATAGAGCACTGACCCTGACATCAGGAGGACCTGAGTTCAAATCCGGCCTCAGTTCAAACACTTGACACTTACTAGCTGTATGACCCTGGGCAAGTCACTTAACCCCAATTGCCTAAAAAAATTAAAAAAAAAAATTAAAAAAAAAAATAGGATGGCATTGAATATGTAAATTAGTATAGGTGTAATTGTCATTTTTATTATATTGGCTCTGCCCACCCATGAACAATTAATATTTCTTCAATTATTTAAATCTGACTATATTTGTATAAAAAGCGTTTTATAATTATGCTCATGTAGTTCTTGGCAGGTATACTTCCAGGTATTTTATGATGCCTATGGTTATTTTAAATGGAGTACTTCTTACTATCTCTTCTTGCACGGTTTTGTTGGTGATATATAGAAATGTTGATGATTTACATGGGTTTATTTTATATCCTGCTACTTTGCTAAAATTGTTGTTTCAACTAGCTTTTCAGTTGAATCTCTAGGATTTTCCAAGTATATCACCACCTTGTCTACAAAAAGAGACTGTTTTATTACTTCACTGCCAAAGGGTTAATGTATAAGACCTTCCCTACCCACAGCCCAAGCCAAGGGACAAGGAACTTCCCTAACGTATTGCTCTGGCATTTGTTTCAACCCAGACACACCTTGGGGAACTACTCCTTAAAAAACAAGTCTTGAGGTAAACATCCAGGGACTTGGCCAATTCCTGGGTATTGATCCAAGACATTTTTTGACATAGCAAAGATTGTTCTTGAGGTCAGAGAGTTTCAGCCAAAACTGTCAGGTCCTTAGGATTAATCACCTATTCCCTGGCTCCCTGCCTTCTCTGTGTAGGGATGATAAAATGGGTCTTTCTTGGGAAAGTGACTTGGGGAGTCTCCTGTGGAGAGGATGCTCTGCTGGAGGGACTTTCCCAACTGAGACCCTGATGGCTGTGATCCAGGACTCCCCCAGCCAGATGTTCAGGTGTCGGTGCTTCCTCGGATTGGTGATGTATTTCTTCTTCTTTATCTATCTTTCTGTTAATAGTCTCTGCTTCTAAGATTGTATAATCGTATATAATCACATTTATATGCACGTATGCTTATGATTATTGCCATTATTAAATCATTTATAAACTAGGAAAAGTGTGAATGTGTCTTTGTGGGTACAGATCCAAACCCGTGAAATAAATTATAAGTGCTGCGCAGCCCGTGACACCTTATTGTTACAACTGCTCATTCTGATTCCTTTGATTTTTTTTTCCTTTTCTTATTGCTATTGCTAGCATTTCTAATAAAATACTAAATAATATTAATGATATTGGGCATCCTACTTGATTTTTCTAACATTCTTCAAATTAACTTATTACATAGATTACAAGGTTCAACAAATTATACCAGGAGCAAAATGCAAATATTGCTAGGCAATAGTTAAATACTACACACAAAAAAAATTTGCTTCCTTTAATCTAGTGAGCTAGACCATTCCAAATAACTATTTTAGTTATTCATTCAAAAGACCCTGGGATGATTAATGTGCCAATTCTTTGCATTCCCCTTTACATCTCTCCTGAGGAATACCTAAAAGTGGGAGAGTTATGGAAAAGTCACTATATCATTCCTCATGGTTTAAGACTGCATCAGGGGCGGAGCCAAGATGGCAGAGGGAAAGCAGTGACTGTCTTGAGCTCTCTCCCAAAGCGCACCAAATACCTAAAAAAATGGCTCTAAACAAATTCTAAAGCAGCAGAATCGACAAAAAGACAGAGTGAAACAAATTTCCAGCCAAAGATAGCCTGGATGGCTGATAGGAAAGGTATATCGTGCCGGGTGGGGAGAGGAGCGCAGTTCGGTATGGGCGTGCAGGCCACAGTGAACCTGGAGCAGGCCTCAGAGGACTGAATCGAGGGCAGCTGTGGCGGTTTCCAGACTTCTCAACCCCTGAACGCCAAAGACAACTTAGAAGGTCAGTGGGAAAAGTCTGTGACTGCAGTGAGAGAGGAGCTAGGTCTCCGCTGCAAGTCTCGAGCGCAGCCCAGGGCCGCAGCTTTTTCCTGAGCTTCCGGCCCACAGATGGTGGGGGGATTGAGTGGTTAATCAGAGGGGGATTGCAGGGATCTCTTTGCCAGTGCTGAGGCAGGAATCTCTTGCTTCACTGGTGCTTGGATCTGGGTCACAGTTCGGAGGGGTGGTCCTGGGACAAGGACGAATGCTAGTGTGGTGGAGCTTCTTGTGGTGGTGGAGAGAAAACACCTCACCCCTTATCATACCACCTTGGAAGAACTCAAAATTTATAGGTCCCTAGAATTACCTCTGAAAACAGCTGTACAAACCCCCGAAGCTTGGGACAGTACACTCTCCACATTGGAAACAGACTTTTACCTTACCAAAGAGTTGAAGACTCAAGTAATTGGTCGGGATCATGAGTAAGCAGCGCAAAAAGAGTCAGACTATATTATCTTACTTTGGTGACAAAGAAGATCAAAACATACAACCAGAAGAAGACAACAAAGCCAAAGCTCCTACATCCAAAGCCTCCAAGAAAAATATGGATCAGTCCCAGGCCTTGGAAGAGCTCAAAAAGGATTTTGAGAAGCAAGTTAGAGAAGTAGAGGAAAAACTGGGAAGAGAAATGAGAGTGATGCAAGAAAATCATGAAAAACAAGTCAACAGCTCCAAAAAAATACTGAAGAAAATAACCCCTTAAAAAATGGCCTAACCCAAATGGCAAAAGAGGTCCAAAAAGCCAGTGAGGAGAAGAATGCCCTAAAAAGCAAAACTGGCCAAATGGAAAAGGAAGTCCAAAAGATTACTAAAGAAAATACTTCCTTAAAAATTAGAATAGAGCAATTAGAAGCCAGTGACTTTATGAGAAATCAAGACACTGTAAAACAAATACAAAAGAATGAAAAATTAGAAAACAATATGAAATATCTCATTGGAAAAACAACTGACCTGGAAAATAGATCCAGGAGAGAGAATTTAAAAATTATTGGACTATCTGAATGCCATGATCAAAAAAAGAGCCTAGACATCATCTTTCAAGAAATTATCCAAGAAAACTGTCCTGGTATTTTACAACCAGAGGGCAAAACAGAAATTGAAAGAAATCACCGATCTCCTCCTGAAAGAGATCCCCAAAGGAAAACTCCTAGGAATATTGTAGCCAAATTCCAAAGTTCCCAGGTCAAGGAGAAAATATTACAAGCAGCCAGAAAGAATCAATTCAAGTATTGTGGAAACACAATCAGGATAATACAAGATTTAGCTGCTTCTACATTAAGGGACCACAGGGCATGGAATATAATATTCTGGAGAGCAAAGGAGATAGGATTACAACCAAGAATCACCTACCCAGAAAAATTGAGTATAATCCTTCAGGGGAAAAAATGGTCATTCAGTGAAATGGAGGACTTTCAAGCATTCTTGATGAAAAGACCAGAGTTGAATAGAAAATTTGATTTTCAAATATGAGACTCAAGTGGAATATGAAGAGGTAAACAGGAAAGAGAATATCATAAGAGATTTATTAAGGCTGAACTGTTTACATTCCTGCATGGAAAGATATTTATAACTCATGAGACCTTTGTCAGTATTAGGGTAGTTGGAGGGGAAAAAATTATATGTGCATATATATAGATATAGATAGATAGATAGATAGATAGAGGGCACAGGATGAGTTGAAAATGAAGGGGTCATATCTGGAGAATAAAATTAAGGGATGAGAGAGGATTATACTAGGAGAAGGAGAAAGGGAGAGGTAGAACAGGGTAAATTATTCCACAAAAAAAAAAAAAAAAAAAAAACAGAAAAGAAAAGGCTCTTACAGTGAAGGGGTATTGGGGGAAGGTGAGAGGGAATGAGTGAATCTTATTGTCATAGGATTTGACTTAAGGATGGAAAAATATACACACTCAATTGGGTATGGAAATCTGTCTTACCCTACAGGAAAATGGGGGGGGGGGAAGGGGACAAGAGAGTAGGGGAATGATAGAGAGGAGGGCAGATTGGGAAAGGGGGTAATCAGAAGCAAATAATTCTGAGGAGGGACAGGGTCAAAAGAAAGAATAGAATAAGTGGGGGAGGGCAGGATAGGATTAAGGGAAATAGAGTTAGTTTTTCACAGCATGTCTACTATGGAAGTGTTTTGCATAACTGCACATGTATAACATATATTGAGTTGCTTGGCTTATCAATGAGGGTGGGTAGGGAGGGAGGAAGGGAGAAAATGTGGAACCCAAAGTTTTAAAAACACATGTTTAAAAAAAATGTTTTCACATGCAACTGGGAAATAAGAAATACAGGAAATGGGGTACAGAAATCCATCCTGCCCTACAGAAAAAATGAAGAGGAAGGGGATAAGAGAAGGTGGGGAGAGACAGCAGGGAAAGCAGACTAGGGGAAGGGGTATTCAGAATGCATGCCATCTTGGGATGGGGGGAGGGGCGAGATGAGGTAAAAATTTGGAACTCAAAATCTTGTGAAAGTAAATGTTGAAAACAAAAAAATGAAAAAAAAAATAGATTTAGAATACAGTTTGAGACTTTGTTTCTGGAAATAGCCAGTGTAGGAATTTGTTTTGTTTGAATATGCATGTTTGTAACAGTAGTTTTGTTTTTCTTGCTTTCTCTTTTGGGGGTGGGGTGGAGAGGAGAGAGAAGGAAAGAATGCAGATTTGAAAATGAAATTCAATTTAAAAAACAAAAATAAAAACAAAAAAACAAAAAAAAAAGACTGCATCATAATTACATTATTCCAAATAAACGAAGTTACATTGATTTATAAAGATATACAAAGACTTAACTACCTTGGCTTAATCAATCTACCGATTTAACATCCTCTCTGAGAATAAATTAGGGGCAGCTAAATGGTGCAGTAGATAGAACACTGGACCTGGAGTCAAGCAGATATGAGTTCAAATCTATCTCAGACATTTACTAACTGTGTGACCTTGGGCAAGTCACTTCACCCTGTTTGCCTCAGTTTCCTCAACTGTAAAATTAGCTAGAGAAGGAAATGGCAAACCACTCCTGTATCTCTGCCAAGAAAACTCCAAATAGGGTCACAAAGTGTAGGACATGACTTAAACGACTGAACAACAACAATGGCACCTATGCACAAGAATGGTAAAGGTGGGCTTTTGAGTTACAGAAGCAATCACAAAAAATCACCTGTAGTCTTACATTCTGAGCTAGTTTCCTCTAGGAAGATTTCCTCCCCTTATTCCCATCAGCACCTCGTACCTCTGGATGCGGATACTCTGATCCTGATGGCCTTGGGTGGCTATCATCACGTCAGCTTCATCCAGAACGAACACCTTGATCTTTTTGGGATCAATGAATTTCAGCTTGGAGCACCAATCCAGAACTGTGCCAGGGGTACCAATTACGATCTGCTCGCTGATCTTCTGACCTCTTTCTACTGTTGAATCAATAATAAACTTTCCATGAGAGTTTCCATCATCAGATGATTATTAACAAAAACATCGCACAGATATACTTGAACAAAGATATCTTAACTGGAAGGACATATTATCACTATAGCACTTAAGTGTTCACAAACACTGGATAAAAAGAAATTGAAGATCAAACAAGAAAGGAGGTAGAGAAATGTTCATATAAGTTTTCCTTTTGTTTTATATTAACAAGAACAACAACAGTAGCAAGCATGTGCATGACTTTTTAATGTTGTAAATTCCCTTTAGATACATCTCATTTCATTTGCTCTTCATAACCATCCTTGGAGGTAAGTACTTTGGTAACATGCCATTTACAATGGAGGAACTGGGGCTCATCAAATTTAAGTGGCTTGTATAGTGTATCAGTGTCTGAGGCCATATTCAAACCCTGGTCATCCTGAATTCAAGTTTGCACTCTACTTTTCTTAGGCCATACCGCCTCTATAACCAGTCAGCCAGTCCTATCTCTTCTCTCTCTAAAATGTCTCATGTCTTAGGCATCCTTTTCATTGTCACAGTCTAGAGTTAGTCCAGGGATAAGCTGGTTTTAACACTAAAATTTAGTTTGATATGCAAACTTCTTTGTAAAAAGAAATGTTCATGTTTGTTGATGTTTGTCAAGCTGATGATAAAAGAAATATAAAATTAAAAAATAAAAATACTAGGGGCAGCTAGGTGGCGCAGTGGATAGAGCACTGGCCTTTGAGTCAGGAGGACCTGAGTTCAAATCCAGCCTCAAACACTTGACACTTACTAGCTATGTGACCCTAGGCAAGTCACTTAACCCCAAATGCCTTACCAAAAATTTATTAATTAATTAAAAACTTCAGTGAAAAAATAAAGGAGACAGAATCTGAGATTATCTGAGTTACAGCTTCAGATTTCTTTGAGCACTGAGTTCATAATGGCCTTGGACAGTGAAGGCAACTTATATGAGACCAAGAAATTATATAGGCCAAGACAGGAAAAAAGTATTTCTCAAATTTTCTATGATCAGCACACAGATGTACCATGCTACAAACCAGGGCTATGCAGTTTGAGGAGAAAAACCACTAAAAGAAAAAAATTATGAAAAGGAAAAAAGTAAAAAGTACCCCTTTTCTTAAAAGCAAAAAGTTGACAAGGACCTCTTTTTAGTCCAACCCCCTCATTTTCTGCCCATCACAGGCCTCTATTATCACTCATTTTTTTCAAGCTCAGTTTCATCTGCCCTAAAAAAACTTGTGTGACCTTCAGATATGCTTCCTCATCACTCCCCATCCTGATCAGGATTGCTTCTGATTCTAATTTGTTTATGATAGGACTCTGTATATCTAAGTCATGTATACACTTGGAACTTACCTTGGTATGTTGGTCTAAACCTAATTTCTGCCAGACTACAGGTTCAGTTTTCTTGGCAGTTTTTGTCACCTAGTGAGTCCTTTCCCCAGTAACCAGGAGTTGAGGGCTTATTTTTGTTTATTTCTGTATGCTATGTTAACTCATCAGTTCCACTAATGAAATCTTTGTTACAAGTACCAAAAAGTTTTAATGATTATCCTTCATAGAACAGTTTGAGATTTGATACTGATAAAGTACCTTGTAGTAGATTTTATTTTGTTTCATTTTTCTCATCTCAAGTTCAAGTTAACTTAAAATGTGCATTACTAACAGCTTACTTACTTAAGGTATCACTGACATTAATTGGCTTTTAATGGTTTTTCAAGCTTTATTTATAGCACAGGAGGAAAATCTCTCTGTTTTCTTATAGTTCTTTTTATTAAATAAATTTTTGATTATCTTTTGTTTTTACATTACCTGTATTTCCCTTGCCCTTTCCCCTCCCAGATAAGCCAGCCCTTAAAAAAATAAAAAAGAGAAAATAGTTTGGCAAAACTAATCATGGCATTTAAAAAGTCTAACAGTACACATATTCTAATATTTTTTAAGCTTAAATACTATATCATCCTCCTTGTACACTCACATTTATTGCCTCGAACAGCATAAGCAAGTTTAAGTTCTGGATAAAATCTGCCCATCTGTTCAATCACCTTTCCCGTCTGAAGTGCCAGCTCGTATGTTGGTGACAGACACAAACACTGAAAAGAAAATAATACAAATTAAGACATGCACCTTGTAATTTAACAAAGTCATTCAGCAACACAGAATTCCAAGGTACACAGTTCAAGGAAACATTTGGACATTTTGTTTTAGTGGGGGTAAGGTTACTTAGTGATTTTGACTTTTCCTAGTGACCCCACCAACCAAGGCTAAACAGCATTAAGAGGGAATTTTTCTCAGACTGTAAATTACAATACACATCATTTACACATCTTCTGGCTAATAGAACCCTTAAAGTACATCTGCATGGGAGCACTGATTCACAGAATTGCTCACCTCCTGGTATTTTAGTATCTGTCCTATTTAAGGCAGATCAAAGAACTATAAAATTCTTGCCTGAGCTGAGTCTGAGATGTCATTTTAGAGGTTCATTTCCTTAACTCTCCACCTTAACCCTAGAAAGGAATTATTTTGCATTGTCCCAAAGGCTTATTGGGGAAGTGAGGGAGATACCACTAATAGCTGTTCTCCCTAAGGGGTAGTAGTAGAGAAGCGAATGTGTAACAGCTTAGCAACTGACCAGGAAGATCTTCAAAATACATTGGTAATATATGATCCACTTCTGAGGGAGCCATGGTATACTTATTGTTAAAGGAACTGAGACACCATCATATGGCAACATTTGTCCAGATTCAAGCTAGTCAGGGAACACTTACCCACCAAACCCTTACCTGGGGGTATCTGTTCAAAGGTTCCACTTGGCTGAGCATAGCCAAGACAAATGCAGCTGTTTTGCCAGTACCAGACTGAGACTGAGCAATCAGGTTCTGTGGGCTAGGTCAAGAAAGGGCAGGAATTATTAAAGAGCTTAAATTTAAAAAGAAAAATGATTAGGGCAAAAATAGGTAAAAAAGGGATTTCCATCAAATTCCTTCTATGACACTATATAGTTTTTGATACCTAAACCAGAGAGTAGAAAAACAGAGAAAGAAAAAATGTAGACCAATTCCTCTAAAGAATATTGATGTAAAAATTTTATTTTTTTAAAATTACTTGAGTTCCAAATTCTCCTTCCCTCTAATCTTCCCCCCACCTATTGAGAAGCAAGCAATGTGATATCAATTATACACAAGAAGTCATGAAAAATATTCCATATTAGTCATATGATGCAAAATTTGTAAATAAAATACTAACAAGGAGATTACAGCAACACATCACAAAGATTATATACTATGTGCACATTGGATTTATACCAGGAATGCAGGGCTGGTTCAATATTATGAAAACTATAAGCATAATTAACCTTATCAAAATCATATGATTATATCAAGAGATGTAGAAAAAGCTTTTGACAAAAGATAACACTCATTCCTATTAAAAACACTAAAAAGTAAGGCAACTAAGTGGCACAGTGGATAGAGCTCTGGCCTTGAAGTCAGGAGGACCTGAGTTCAAATCTGGCCTCAGACACTTGACACTTACTAGCTGTGTGACCCTGGGCAAGTCACTTAACCCCAATTGTCTCACCAAAAAGCAAATAAAACAAAAACAAAACAAAAAAAAAAAACACTAAAAAGCACAAGAATAAATAGAGCTTTTCTTAAAATGGTAAGGAGTATCTATCTAAAACCAAAAGCAAGCATTATCTGTAACAGGGATAAACTATAAGTCTTTCCAATAAGATCAGGAGTAAAATAAGGATGTCTATTATCATCATTATTATTCAATATTGTACTAGAAATGCTAGCTATAGAAATAAAACAAGAAAAAGAAATCGAAGGAATAAGAATAGATAATAAGGAAACAAAACTATCACTCTTTGTAAATGACATGATACTTAGAGAACCCTAGAGAATCAACTAAAAAACTACTTGAAATAATTAATAACTTTTAGCAAAGCTGCAGAATATAAAATAACCCCACAGAAATCATCATCATTTTTATGCATTATCAACAAAACTCAGTAGGAGATAGAAAGAGAATTTCTACTTAAAATAACTGTAGACCATATAAAATACTTGGGAGTCTACCTGCCAAGACAAATGTAGGGACTATAGGAACACAATTACAAAATATTTTTCACACAAATAAAGACAAACTAAGACAATTAGAAAAATATTGATTGCTCATGAGTAGGCCAAGCCTAAAAATGACAATACTGCCTAAATTAATTTACTCACTCAGTGCTATGCCAATCCAATTACCAAATAATTATTTCATAGAGCTAGAAAAAAATAATAACAAAATTCAGCTGGAAGAACAAAAGGTCAAGAATATTAAGGGAATCAATGGGAAAAAAAAAGTGAAGGAAGGAGGCCTTAAAGTACCAGATCTCAAACTATACAACTAAGAAGCAATCATCAAACAATCTGGTACTGGTAAATAAATACAGTAGTTGGTGAGTGGAATAGATTAGGCACACAATATGTAGAAGTAAATGACCATAGTAACCTAAGTGTTTGACAAACCTAAAGATCCCAGCTATTGGTGCAAGAACTCACTATATGACAAAAACTGGTAGGAAAACTTGAAAGCAGTCTGGCAGAAACTAGGGATGGACCAACATCTCATACCATACACTAAAATAAGGTAAAAAAAGAGTACATGATTTAGATATAAAGTGTGACAGCATTAGCAATTTAGGGGAGCATGGAAACATTTACCTGTTAGATCTATGGATAAGGGAAGACTTCATAACCAAACAAGAGATAGAGAGGATCACAAGAGGTAAAATGGATAATTTTGATTACGTGAAATTTAAAAGGATTTAGCCCAAACAAAATGAATGCAGCCAAGATTAGAAACTGGAAAAAACTTTTTACAGCAAGTTTCTTTGATAAAGGTCTCACTGTTTTGGTATGAGTGGAAGTTGAATATTCCAGGTTAAAATATGACCAGAATACCTATTTCTAAAGAAGCAAAAAGGGACACTCAAAATTTAAATGATTGTGTGTATCAAGTTTTGACATTTAAAATGTCCATTAGTGATGTTAGATATTCTTCAGAAGTATACTCATTCTAAATCATGCTGTAGAAATCACACTTTCTAAAACAATCTTTTCAATTTTTTGGAATAACTAATGAAAGGAGTTAAAAAAGGAAATTATAAAAGGGCTAAACTGCAATTGGATACACACGGTTCAGCAAGCATCATGGGTAATGCATTTTCTTGTATTTTAGACGGCCGGTTGAAACCCATCGCATAGACTCCCTGTAGAAGCTGAGGTTTCCTGTAAGAATGATAATGATATACATTTTACTTGTAATTGTCCATACTAAAAGTCACACTTATGCTCAGCAGATAATAACATGCAACACCATCTAAAGCACCTACAGTTAATTAAAAACTTTACTATTTCAAAAAACAAGTATACATGCTAATCTATCATAATTTCCAAGTGATTAGGAAAACATTTTGCTGTGATGAGAGAATAAATACATTTAGCTATATTGGCACTTAAAACCTTCACTAGATTATATAGAAGGCTATATATTGAATGAAGCGCCTATATTTGTGTGGCATTATGGCCATGACAGACTAATAATAATTAGAAAGACAATATACTTACAGCCTAAGCTCTTCAAAAGACTTCACTGAATAGAGGGGGGAATTTGGATCCCGTTGGAGGACCTCCACTTGATTGGTGTTATCAACAAGATTATTTCTGATCAGCTTATTTAGCAATGACTGGGCAGCTCTATCCTCTATGGTGAAGAATATAATAATGATGAAAAGTGATTCATGAAAACTTAAAATTCAGTTCATATGTGCTTAAATGTTATAATAGCCACAACATCTGTTCGTATTTTTCCCTCTTGCTCTTCCTTATCAATACCTTTCCTCTTCTACCCTTTCTCCCTACCACCTCCGCCAATCCTTTGTCTTCCCCACAAACCTCAAACTACCAGAATGGAAAACTTACAAAGAAGTAAAATTCATATAATGCAATAATGTTTTTTGTCTATCCACATCTTGTCACAAAGGTCAATTTTTTTCTGTGATATTTATAACTTCACTTTTTTAGTATGGGGATTTAAAAAAATTGTCTACTGTCTCAACCAGTCAGTTAACAAGGATTTATTAATTCCTTATTATGTGACAAGCACTGTGGTAAGTGCTGGGGAAACAAAGAAAGGCAAAAGACAGTACCCACTCTCAAGGAGCTCAACAGTCTAATGGGTGGAAAATCATGTAAACAATTAGGTACAAACACCACACACACACACCCCAAATACACCCCTAGGATAAATTAAATATAATCAACAGAGGAAAGACACTCACTAAACATTAAAGGGGAATCAGGAAACATGCACTGAATCAAGACATGGAATGTCTTAGAATGACAAGGAGGCCAGTGTCACTGGATTGCAAAATACATGGTGGGAAGTGCAGGGGTATAAGAAGACTAGAGAGGTAGGTAGCAGTCAGGTTATGAAAAGGTTTTTAAAGTTTTTTTAAAGACAAAGAAAGAATTTTATATTTCATCCTGGAAATAATAAGGAGCTACTGGAGTTGAATTGGGGGAGGGGTGTGTGTGTGTGTGTGTGTGTGTGTGTGTGTGTGTGTGTGTGTGTGTCAGATATGATCAGATCAATTTGACAGATGAGTGGAGGATGAACTGGAGTGAGGAGAGACTTGAGGCTAGGAAACCAGCTATCAGGCCACTGCAACTGCCCAGGGGTGAGGTGATGAGGTGCTGCACCAGGGTGGTGGCAGTGTCAGAGAACAGATTGTAATCACAAAGCAAAAATCAACAGGACTTAGCAACTGACTACATATGGGGTTAAGACCAAACAAATAGTTAAGGATGCCATCTAGGTTGTGAGCCTGAGTAACTAGGGGGATGGGGATGTCTTTGATAGATAGGAAGAGAGTGAGAGGAAAGGACGCAAAGGCATCAACTTCTCAAGACGTTTAGCTACAAAAGGAAGAAGAGATATAGGATGATAGGTAGCAGGAAGGACAGATCAAGAGAGGTTTTAAGAGGATAGAGGAGGCAAGGGCATGATTATAGGTAGTAGAGAAGCAGCCAGTAGATGGGGAACTATTGAGGACTAGTGAAAGAGTGAGGATGACAGAAAAAGCAATCTTCTAGAGAAGGCAGGATGGAATGGGATCTCCTGAGCAGGTGCAGGGGGTTTTTCCTGGCAAGGAGAAAAGCCACCTCCTCATGTGGGACAGAAGTGAAGGAGGAGATAGTAACAGAAAGCATAAATGATGTGAGATGAGGACAGGAAGAGAGGCAGCTCTCAAAGAATGGCCTCAATTTATTCAATGAAATGTGAGACAAGATTCTCAGCCTAGAGGGTAGAGGAAATGGGAGTTATGGGAAGTTTGAGAAGAGAAGGTTTAGAAATTTTGCTGTGGTGAGTGGAATAATTAATCAGTTAGGGAGATATAAAAGGATTTCCTTGCTGCAATGAGGGCCTAGGTGAGATTATGTAACATAGATTTGTAGTAGACCCAGTTAGCACAGTTTCATGATTTGCTCTAGCTTCATTCAGTAACACAAAGGTAGCAGATGGGAGAATAATCCAAGGCTGAGGCTTGGAAGGGCAAGGTCAGAGATTCAGTAAATATTTGATGCTAAAGATCATATCAATTTACTTTAAATACAGATCATTAGTACAATCCCTTTAACATATTATAAGTTTAGGGGGTGGAGCCAAGATGGCAGAGTAAAAGCAGAGACTTGCTTGAGCTCTCCCCCAAACCCCTCCAAATACCTATAAAAAAAATAGCTCTAAACAAATTCTAAAGCACCAGAACCCACAGAAAGACAAAGTGAAACAAATTTCCAGCCCAAGACAACCTGGATGGTTGACCTGAAAGGTATATTGCGCTGGGCTGGGAGAGGAGCTCAGTTCAGCGTGGGCAAGCAGGCCACAGCTAACCTAGAGTAGGCCTCAGAGGACTGAATTGCAGGCAGCTGTGGTGGTTTCCAGACTTCTCAACCTACAAATGCCAAAGACAACTTAGAAGGTCAGTGGGAAAAGTCTTTCTGTGGTGAGAGAGAAGAGCTGGGTCCCAACACCATTCCCCCAGCTCAGCCCCAAGGCGGAGGCTGTCTCCTGAGCTCCCCGCCCACAGACTGAGGGGGAATCCAGTGGCTGATCAGAGGGGGATTGCAGGGATCTCTCTGATGGTGCAGGATTCTCCTGCTTTGCCCATGCTTGAGCTGGGTCACAGTTCTGGGTGGTGGTCCTGAGGCGAGAAGGAGCACTGGCGTGGTGGAACTTGCAGTGGCTGTGGAGAGGAAATCCTCCTCACAGTTCCAAGACAGAAAAGAGAGCTTGTGGTCACTCATAGACCAGAGCACAGGACAGGAAAGGAGTAAACACCTCGCCCTTGATCATAGCACCTTGGAAGAACTGAAAAGTTACAGGTCCCTAGAAGTATCTCTGAAAACAGCTGCATAAAACCCCTGAACTTGGGACAGTACATTCTCCACACTGGAAACAGACCACTACCTTAACAAAGAGTTTATAATTCAAGTAACTGGCTGAGATCATGAGCAAGCAGCGCAAAAAGAGTCAGACTATATTATCTTACTTTGGTGACAAAGAAGATCAAAACATACAACCAGAAGAATGCAATGAAGTCAAAGCTCCTACATCCAAAGCCTCCAAGAAAAATATGAATTGGTCCCAGGCCATGGAAGAGCTCAAAAAGGATTTTGAGAAGCAAGTAAGAGAAGTAGAGGAAAAACTGAGAGTGATGCTAAAGAAGACTCAAAAAAAAAAAAATACTGAAGAAAATAACCCCTTAAAAAATAACCTAACCCAAATGGCAAAAGAGGTCTAAAAAAGCCAAGGCAGAGAAGAATGCCCTAAAAAGCAAAATTGGCCAAATGGAAAAGGAAGTTCAAAAGCTTATTGAAGAAAATACTTCCTTAAAAAGTACAATGGAGCAACTGGAAGCTAGCAACTATATGAGCAACCAAGGCACTGTAAAACTAATCCAAAAGAATGAAAAAATAGAAGAGAATGTGAAATATCTCATTGGAAAAACAACTGACCTGGAAAATAGATCCAGAAGAGAGAACTTAAAAATTACTGGACTATCTGAAAGCCATGATCAAAAAAAGAACCTAGACATCATCTTTCAGGAAATTATCAAGGAAAACTGCCCTGATATTTTAGAACCAGAGGGCAAAATAGAAATTGAAAGAATCCCCCGATCACCTCCTGAAAGAGATCTCTAAAGGAAAACTCCTAGGAATATTGTAGCCAAATTCCAGAATTCCCAGGTCAAGGAGAAAATATTGCAGGCAGCCAGAAAGAAACAATTCAAGTATTGTGGAAACACAATCAGGATAACACAAGATTTAGCAGCTTCTATATTATGGGACCGGAGGGCAAGGAATATAATATTCCAGAGGGCAAAGGAGACAGGATTACAACCAAGAATCACCTATCTAGCAAAACTGAGTATAATCCTTCAGGGTAAAAAATGGTCATTCAATGAAATAGAGGACTTCAAGCATTCCTGTGGAAAAGACCAGAGCTGAATAGAAAATGTGACCTTCAAATACAAGACTCAAGTGAAACATGGAAGAGGTAAACAGGAAAGAGAAACCATAAGAGACTTATTAAGGTTGAACTGTTTACATTCCTGCAGGGAAGGATGATATTTGTAACTCATGAGTCCTTTGTCAGTATTAGGGTAGTGGGAGGGAAAAAAATTATACGTATGTATAGATAGATAGATAGATAGATAGATAGATAAGTAGATAGATAGATAGATAGATAGATAGGTAGATAGGTAGATAGATAGATAGATAGATAGATAGATAGATAGATAGATAGATAGATAGATAGATAGGTAGATAGATAGATAGAAGGCACAGGGTGAGTTGAAGATGAAGGGATGATATCTGGAAAATAAAATTAAGGGATCAGAGAGGATTATACTGGGAGAAGGAGAAAGGGAGAAGTAGAATGGGGTAAATTATCTCACATGAAACAGACAAGAAAAGGCTTTTACAGTAGAGGGGAAATGGGGGAAGGTGAGAGGGTATGAGTGAATTTATTCTCATAGGATTTGGCTTAAGGAGGGAATACCATACACAATGGGGTATGGAAATCTATCTTACTCTACAGGAAAATAAGGGGGGAAGGAGACAAGAGAGAAGGGGGTTGATAGAGGGGAGGGCAGATTGGGGGAGGGGATAATCAGAAGCAAATACTTCTGAGGAGGGACAGGGTCAAAAGAGAGAATAGAATAAATGGGGGGTAGGATAGGATGAAGGGAAATATATTTAGTTTTTCACAACATGACTGCTATGGAAGTGTTTTGCATGACTACATATCTATAACCTATATCGAGATGCTTGCCTTTTCAATAAGGGTGGGTGGGGAGGGAGGAAGGGAGAAAATTTGTAATCCAAAGTTTTAAAAACACGTTAGAATAAAAATAAAAATAAAAACAATTTTTAAAAAATGTATTATAAGTTTAGGGCTTCTTTATCTGTCCTGTGATTCATATTGTCACTTTTTAAAATGAAGCCTTACAAATAAGTCCAATTCTTTATTTTAAATTTAAGAACCTAATTCATAGAATCCTTTTATTCCTTCCCTACTTTAAAACTATACTTACCTTTCTCCTCTTCATCTGTCTTTTCTACATTTTCACTGGATTTGACAACAGTACCTGAAGAATTAGACAAAAGATTGTTAGTCAAAAGCAAATCCTATGTTCAAAGAGTTAAGACAACTCAAATCTTGTGCCAAACAAAAGATGTGAAAGCCTAGGGAGAAAAAATGGTTCTCCATTCTTACCTCACCCCCACCCCAAATTTTTCCTGGCTGTTACTATTCTATATAATATACCAAACACGATCCTATACATATCTTTGTAGGTTCCTAAACTAACAAAATGACTCCAAGTATTGTATTTGCATATAGTTAAAGCCTCTCTAAAATGTCCCTACCAAAAACCTACGGACTTATCAACACAATAGTAGTCTATTACATTCACATAACATAGCTCATATAGCCATTCCCCAATTGATGAGCATCCCTTGAGTTTCCAATTCTTTGCCACTACAAAGAATTGCTATAAATATATTTGTATATATGGGTTTTTTCTTCTTTCTTCAATCTTTGTGGTGGTACTGCTAGGTCAAAGGGTATATTTGGTTAATAACAGCTTTTTCATCATAGTTCCAAATTGTTTTCAAAACGACTGGACCAGTTCACAGTTCAACCAACAGTACATTAACGGAACTGTTTTTGTAGTAGCCTCTTTAACATCAATCACTTTCCTCTTTTGTCAACTTTGCCAATCTAATGGGCATAAGGCGGTGTCTCAAAAAAGTTCTGATTTGTATTTCTCCAATTACCAGTGATTTGAAGCATTTTTTCATATGGGTATTGAGAATTTGGATTCCTTTGTCTCAAAACTGCTTATTCATATCCTTTGACCATTTATGAATTGAGGAATGGCTCTAACCCTTATAGATCTGACTTAGTTCCCTATTTTAGAAATCACACCTTCATCAGAGAAACTTTCTACAGAGATCCCCGCCCCCAGTGTCCTGCTTGAGAAACTTGATGTTAAAATAATTAGAATGAGCATTTTCTTTGGTTGCTCACACATTGGTTGTTCTATTCATCCTTATTAAAAAGAAATATTACAAATAAAAAGCCCCACAACACTGGCATTACATTCAATGATCAAAGGCCAAGTGAGCATCTACATAAATATATTAAGATTTCCTTATAAAAATCTAGCTTAGGGTGGGGTGGGGGTAGGATTAAATCTGACATTGACATTTATCAACTGCTATGCTTAATACAAACTATGTTTCTATATGATTGCTGTAAGTTCAGAGAAAAACACCTTGAATAAAACCACATTTCATTTTTAGCTCTGTTTATAATTACTAGCTACTCACCATTGGTATCTGGTTTGACTCTCTCTTCCTTCAGATTTAAGTTGCTCAACTACATGGAGAAATAAAAGGGAAATGTATCAGGACCATTATCTACCCAAATATTTTTAGCTCTGAGAGAGGCTGAAACAATCTAATCCCCAAATATATCAAGGTCACTTCTTTGCTTAAAAGTTGGAGGAAAGAATGTTAGAGCAAATTTTCCTTAGTTTAATAGTGGGATGAAAAATGATTTTTTAACAGTCCAAACTCAAAACTTTTTTTGACTAATGCTCCTATAATTCATGAATTTGCCAATTATTCTGAAAACATTTCTCTTACAAGTTAGGAATTAGTCAGGACATGAGACACTGTTCCCTTCCATTTGAAGAGTTTCCCTCTCGATCTCATCAGCCTCCCCATGTACTGAAATATCATCTCTACTGAGCTAACTCCCAAATGGATATAGCTGGCTTTCATCCTAATTTCCCAATTTCTGTTGAGTGTATTCCAGTGTCCCAGGTTCCCAACCTGAGAATCATCCTCGACTCTTCCCTCTCACTCACCCCTCACATCCAATCAGTGGTCATGTTTTGTCTATTCTCTCTCAACATCTCTTAACATACGCTCTCACGTGGCCTAAGCATCCTGATTCAGACACTCATCATCTTTCTGGTCTCTCCCTTATCTAATGCACCCCACAAATTGCTGCCAAATTAGTATTCTTAAAGCACAGGTCTAAATATGTCACCCTCCTGCAGAAGGTACCACCGAGTCCCCGATGGCTCTCGGACAAACAAACAAAACCTAACCTCCTCTGTTTGGCATGCAAAGCTCTTCACAGCCTGGCTCCAACCTATTTTTCTAGGCTGAGGACTGTGATACCCCTCAGACATACAATCTTCCCAAAACCACCCACCTGCTGCTCTTCCCTGGACACAACCTTTTCTATTCCAACCTGCAAGTCTGGAATGCTCTCCCTCTCCCTCATCTCTCAGAATCCTTTATCTCCTTTTAAAATGTGACTTAAGGGGAAGCGCCTACAAGGGGTTTCTCCTGACTCTTAGTTGTTAAGTCTCTTCTCACCTCTAAAATTGCTTTGAATATATACTCTATTTAATCATCTGTGAACATGTTTTACTTTCCCAGTAGAATATAAGCTCCTTGAGGGAAGAGACTGTCACTTTTGTATCCCCAGTGCCTAACACAGTACCCACACACAGCAGGTGCTTAATAAATATTTGCTGGATTTCATCTGATGTGATCCAAGTTATCATTTCTCTGATACTGCAAACAAAAGGTAGCTAATGCCACGGGCAATGTTGGATAGCAGGCTTACACTCAAGTCAGTCAATAAAACATCACTAAGCATCCATTACATGCCAGGCACTAAGCTAAGTGCTGGGGACATAAATATAAAAAATGAAGTGACAAGATAGCTGGCTTGGGAGCCCTCTTTAAATGGAGGCTCTGGGCGGAGTTTTTGCTCCTCCCTCCTGCTCTCCCATCAGAGGGGCAGAGGCAACTGAAGAGTGATGATGAGGTTGTTGTTTGTCCCTCATTCATGAAGAGGACCATGACATCAGAAAGATGATGCCACGACTTAAGTGAACTGGATTTAAGTGAGGGAGGGCTATGCAAGGTCACCAGCCTCACTTTCTCCACCAGAGCCATCTGAGTCCAGTGGCCAGATATAGGTCAAGACAACTGGAGATAGCTCAGGATGATGAGGTGGGAATCAAGTCCACAAGGATTCATTAAGCTTTATTATGTGATGGGCACTGTGCTAAGCACTGGGCAAACAAAGAAAGGCAAAAACCAATCCCTGACCTCAAGGAGTCCACAGTCTGATGGGGAAGACAACAACTATGCAAACAACCATGTACAAACAAGAGATACAGAAGGTAAACTGGAGCTGGATCATAGAGAAAAGGATTTACTGCACAAGGTGAGATTTTAACTGGGACCTTAAGGAAATTGAAATGAGGAGAGAGAATTCTAAACATGAAAAAATGAAAATGCACTGAATCAGGACATGGAGCAAATTGGGCAAGGAATAGCGAGAAAGCCAGTCGTGCTCAACTGCACAACATGTGAAAGGAAGCAAGGTATACAAAGACTGGAAAAGGAGAAGGGCCTGGTTTATGAGGATCTTTAAAAGCAAAGCAGGATTTTATATTTGATCTTAGAACTAATAGGGAGCTGTTGGAATATACTGAATGAGGGCATGACATGGTCAGAACTGAGCTTTAGGAAGATCACTTTGACTGATGATGGGGACTGCTGGAGTGGGGAAAGACCTGAAGTAGGGAGACCAACCAGCAGGCTATTGCAATAAGATATGTGTGAGGTGATGATGGTCTGCACCAGGGTAGTAGCAATGCCAGAGGAGAGAAGAGAAGGTATACTTGCTAGAGATGTCACAAAGGAAAAATTGACAGGACTTAGCAACTGATTGGAAATAAGAAGGAAGAGAATGAAGAGTTGAAGATGATACCTAAATCACAAGCCTGAGTAACTGGGAAGATGGTGGTATCCTTTACTGTAATAGGAAAGTCAGGAAAAGGAAAGGACTGGGGAAAAGATGATGAGTTCAGTTCTGATCAACTATGTTGATAGTTTTCCTGATATTGAACCAGCCCTGCAATCCTGGTATAAATCCTACCTGGTCATAGTGTATTGTTCTCGTGATAAGTTGCTGTAATCTATTTGCTAATATTTTATTTAAAATTTCTGCATCTATATTCATTAGGGAAATGGGTCTATAATTTTCTTTCTCTATTCTGACTCTTCCTAGTTTAGGTATCAGCATCATATTTGTATCATAAAAAGAAGCTGGTAAGACTCTTTCTTCACCTGTTTTCCTAAATAGTATATATAGTATTAGAATTAATTATTCTTTAAATGTTTGATCAAGTTTGCATGTAAATTCATCTGGACGTGGAGATTTTTTCCTAGGGAGTTCATTGATGGCTTGTTCAATTTCTTTTTCTGAGATGGGGGTTACTTAAGTACTTTACTTCCTCTTCTGTTAATCTGGGCAATTTATATTTTTATAAATATTCATCCATTCCACTAAGATTGTCAAATTTATTGGCATACAGTTGGGCAAAATAGTTCCTAATTGTTGTCTTAATTTCCTCTTCATTTGGTGGTGAATTCACCCATGTCATTCTTGATACTGGTAATTTGGTTTTCTTCTTTCTTTCAATTAAATTAACCAAAGGTTTATCTATTTTATTGTTTTTTTTTTCATAAAACCAGCTCTTAGTTTTATTTATTAGTTCAATAGTTTTCTTAATTTCAATTTTATTAATCTCTCCTTTGGTTTTCAGTATTTCTAATTTGGTATTTAGTTGGGGATTTTCAATTTGTTCTTTTTCTAATTTTTTAGTTGCATGCCCACTTCATTTCTCTATTTTATTCTTGTAAGCATTTAGAGATATCAGACTTCCCCTAAGAACTGCTTTCACTGCATCCCATAAGTTTTGGTATGTTGTCTCATTATTGTCATTCTCTTGGATGAAGTTATTGTTTCTATGATTTGTTGTTTGACCCACTCATTCTTTAGGATTAGATTATTTAGTTTCCAATTAATTTTTAGTCTATCTTTCCATGGCCCTTTATTACATATAATTTTTACTGCATCATGATCTGAAAAGGATGCATTTAATATTTCTTTCTTTCTGCACTGCATTGTGAGGTTTTTATGCCCTAATACATGGTGAATTTTGTGTGCCACGTACCACTGAGAAAAAAGTATATTCCTTTCTATCCCCATTCAATTTTCTCCAGAGGTGAACCATATCTAACTTTTCTAAAATTCTATTCACCTCCTTAACTTTTTTGTTTATTTTGTGGTTAGATTTATTTAGTTCAGAGAGGAGGCGGCTGAGGTCCCCCACTAGTATAGTTTTGTTGCCTATTTCGTCCCTTATCTCCCTGAACTTCCCCTCTAAGAATCTGGCACTAGCTGTGTGACTCTGGGCAAGTCACTTAACCCCAACTGCCTCACCAAAAAGCAAAAAAGGAAAAAAAAAAAAGAATTTGGCTGTTATACCACTTGGTGCATATGTTTAATAATGATATCACTTTGTTGTCTATGTTGCCTTTTAGCAGGATGTAGTTTCCTTCCTTATCTCTTTTAATTAGATCTATTTTTGCTTTTGTTTTGTCTGAGATAAGGATTGCTACCCCTGCTTTTTTTACTTCAGCTGAAGCATAATATATTCTACTCCTGACTTTTTTTTTACCTTTACCCTGTGTGTATCCCTCTGTTTCAAATGTGTTGCTTGTAAACAACATGTAAGATTATGGTTTTGAATCCATTCTGCTATCCGTTTCGGTTTTATGGGAGAGTCCCTCCCATTCACATTCACAGTTATGATTACTATCTGTGTCTTTCTCTCTATCTTATCCCTCCCCACCCCAGTTATGCTTTCCTTTCTCCTTTCTCCCTTTTCCTCCTCACTAGTATTTTGCTTTTGACTACAGCCTCCCTCAGTTCCCCCTCCCTTCTATCAGCCCCCTCCCTTTACTTTTCCCTTTCCCCTTCTAATTCCTATAGGGTAAGTTAGATTTCTATACCTGATTATGTTATTCTCTCTTTGAACCAAATCTGATGAGAGTAAGGTTCAAACAATGCTCATCTTCCTTCCTTCTTTCCCTCTACTATAATAGGTTGTTGTGCCTTCTCATGTAATGAAATTTACCTTTGTCTGCCTCCTCCTTTCCTTTTCTCCCAGTACAATCCCTTAATTAGATCCACTTAGTCCACTTAATTAGCTTCTCTATCAATACATCAAAGTCAACTTCTACTCACCCCCTCTGTCTATATATACCCCTTTTGAATGGTGTAATAACAATGCAGTTCTCAAGACTTACAAGTGCCATCTTCCCTTGTAGGGATGTAAACAGTTTGCCCTTGTTAATAACATGTTGTTTTTTTCTGTCCTGTTTACCTTTCTATGCCTCTCCTGAGTCTTGTATTTGAAGATCAAATTTTCTGTTGAGCTCTGGTCTTTTCATCAGAAAGGTTTGGAAATCTCCTATTTTGTTGAATGTCCATCTCCT